TCTTTGATCATATACATAAATTTTATTCTTCTCTGCTCATTTCCAGAACCTATACGAGATCCATTTTCAGATGAATTCAGTGACATCTCTACAAATAATATTCCTATACAGAATAATTCCCCAGGGGCAAATCAATCAGCAAGTGTCCAGAGTCAATTTGAAACGATTTATAAAGCTGACCTAGAGTTTATTATTACAGAGTTACGTTTTATCACTAAAAAATTACGCGATGATGAACAAGAATCACTGGTTAGCTTAGAGTGGAAATTCGCTGCACGTGTTATTGACCGATTTTGTTTAGTTATATTCAGTGTATTCAATATTGTTGCAACATTTGCTATTTTGTGTTCAGCGCCAAATTTAGTAGCTTCATTTATGCCGTAAATGGTTAGATTAAACAAGAAAAATTATTGGGAAAGGTTCAATGAGTTCACAATCATCTATTGATAAATATAAAAAATAAATTCTTTCTTTTCACAAAACAATTTAACAACAACCAAAAATATTCACCAATAAAGCCTTAATATTTTTTAAAATCAAAATTGAATCATAATAATCACTACAGTTTAAATATTGTTCAATGTTCAACGGGTGTACAAATGTTCAATTTCAATAGTTCCATTAAAACAACTGTATATTACTAAAATTAAACGAATATCTAATGAAAAGAGTCTGATGCATATTACAGACAGTGAAATTTTGAAAAATATCATTTAGGAATAAAAGAATTAAACTGTTGTCAAATTCTGTTTTGTTTTGTTTTAAATGTAGTCTTTACATTTTGTGTATTTCTTTTCGGATTTGATTTTGTTTAACTAACTGAAATAGAAACTATCTGTTATTAGTATAATGTAATATGAGAATTAGTTGCCTCAGTTGTTATTATTATTATTCCACATTAATACACTCAGTGTTCTAGTATTTATACCATACTTATATGTGTATTTGTAAGCGTTTTCTCTGATTGGTGAATAGCGTATTGCTACCGATCAATACCAAATCAGTCCACTGAAAAATAACCAATCAGAGGAGGTACAGGTGCATGAGTGTCAGCCCGTTTATCTAGCATAGTCGAAGAACAAATAATCTGATTGGTGGATTTCAGTTTTTCTGGATCATTTGAGGCTAATCAGCTAATGATGGACCTTTCTAAACTATTTCAGCTTTTTTGAAATACTAGGAGAGTTATAGGATACGAATTCCCTAGAATAATATGACCGCCAAGTCAGATTGAATTATTATAAATTATTTAAAATAATCCTAGCGTGTTTAAGAAAAAATCAAAACGAGATTTTTCCAAACGTTTCGCTGTGTAAGACTCAGCTTCTTCATCAGAATTATTTGGATTTTTATTAATCATTAAAATATATATAGTAAAAGACGTTTTACATAAATTGAAGTCAGTTTATTTGAAGGTCATTTGTCGATAGACATTTGTACCAATAGGAAAGATGTAAGCAGTCATCATATATCTTTGTAATTACTTATTTCAATTTGACGATGTGTATATTTGTATAAGGGTGTGTGAGTGTATGTTATTTGTTATATGAAAAGGACGTCAGTTCACATGTGATAAACAAGATAATACAATCTTTAAAGGTCATGAAGGTTCAAAGAGGTTTTTGTTGTTTTTTCATGTCTTGCTTCATTAGAGTTTGCCATATTCGTGATAAGTTTATTCCTTCTCTCCTATTTACTGCATTCGATGTGGTTAAGATTTTCAAGGATTCAGAGGTCAATCTTTCTTTATGGGAATGAAATCCTCTTCCAAGAATTTCGACATTGTCGAAATCAATCTTATGCCCGCTGTCTATCACATGCATTGCTTTAGCCGATCTTTTTTCTAGACTTTTTAATTCGGCTTCATTTCTGGGTGGACGTTTCGCGCATAGTTTATGTTCATTCACTCTGACCTTCACCTATCTACTGCTCTCCATTATGTACCATGCTTCACACTCTGAACATTTTATACTATATACACAATTACTTTGTGACATTTTGGGAACCATATCCTTGACATGCATCGAAGATTTCTCCAGAGAATTAGAAGACTTGAAATAGATTTTAATATTACATGAAGCAAATAGTCTTCGAAGTTGTTCAGCTATGTCTTTTCGATGTGGAATGGCCATTGTCGATAGCCAAGATTTTTCGATTTCCTTTTTTCCCTTATGCTCCTTTTTATTGATAATATTATCTAGTAGCTTTTCCGGATGACCATTTACAATCAAAATCTGTTTTATGTTGGATATCTCGTTCTCCATATCTTCATTATCTGTTATAATATCTCTAGCTCTGTTCATGAGATTTAAAGCTACTGAAACTTTCATTCCCATTGGGTGATATGATTGGAAATTCAAATACTTGTTAAAATGTGTCGGTTTTCTGCACATTGTAAACGTTAATTTCTCGTCAGTTTGTCTTTTTACAAGATAATCAAGAATCTCAGTGGGTGCGTACTGCTGGAGAGTCCCAAACTAGGACGAAACAGCTTTCCACTACTCCCAGGTTTTCCAATGGTTCTCTAACTAATGTCAGCTCATGATGAAATCCTGTAAATAATCCAGAAAGTTTAGCGTTCCCTCAGGCGATACGAATTTAAAACAAGCAATAAAGGTTAATAAAGCAGGATTTAATGAATTCATGAAATTTCGGTAGAACTCATCAGTTGAATACTCTACATACACGGATATATATACTTTTGAAATTACATTGGGAGATATAAGACTGATAGGCAAAAATGAACTACACTGAATTAGTCATGCAGAAAGACAGGTGCGAATGTTTTCCAGGTAATGTTCAAAGAGATAAGTGGGGGAGAGAGAGTAGGAGAGATCGAAATTAAGATAAATTGCATTACGCTTCAATTACATCACTTAGATAAACAATCAGTCATTAGGGAATATAACAAGAATTGTAAACAGACTAATATCAATAGTAATAGTTATAATAACAATTTTAATAGTGTTGAAGTGAGTTAAGATAATCTTACGGATAAAGCGTGGTTTTAAATAAATCAAGAATAATAATATTAATAATGATAAAAATAATAATTACTATGGCAGATTCAGAGTCACGACCGTCTCTTTTTGTACACAGAGACCTGGTTTATAAACTCGTGTCCGTAGTCCACAAGATGTTTCGTTATTGAGGATTTTGTCACTTTGCACTGAGCTGTTTTCAACCATTTTGGCAAATGCTCCATCATGCAAGTAAACAATCGTCTTTTTGTACGACCTATGTATTTGCTTCCACAAACACACTCATCAAATTGATATACGCAGTTTGAAGTGTCCAGGGTTGGCGACTAGTCTTTTCCAGATTGTTGAAACACTCGCTTAGTGGTGTTAAGGAAGACAAGTTTTGCAGCATAATACGTTCTCTTGATGGCTTTATCGAGTCTTCGTTTGACTACTTCCTGTACATCATCTCCTTTGAACGGCAAACTGATACAGACAGATTTCTTTGGAACTGTTTGGATTGTTTTGCAGGGGCTAATTTCTGTAGAGTATTTATTGAGGAGCTTCTCAGGATATCTACTATTAGATAAAATATCCTTCAAAGATTTTATTTCATGCTCAACAGTACTGTCAGAACAAATTTTTCGTGCTTTATTGGACAGTGTTCTAAATATAGATCTTTCGATTGTGCCATCGCTCATTAGTGTCAACTTCTTGTCTTGTATCAACGAGGCGTGCTAATATTTAGCTGCTTCGGTATTTCGGCAGCAATAGAATACTCACCAACCACGTCTCAAGTGATCCAAGGTTCCAACCCCGGCCAACGCACTCGTAAACCTCGCTTAGTCGGTAGTAATCCTGATAAAAGAGGAATAGTCTGGGGCGAGGCTAACAACCTCATCCTGTGAAAAAGAGAATACCAAACTTCGAACCTCATACTTGAAGCCCTATGTTCCCATTGGAACGCGAAGGAATAAAGCCAGATAACAATTTTAGAAAACGCTCTATTCATTTTTGTGTTTAACCAAGATTGGTGGTTTTCAGAAATTCAATTATGAACTTGTCTAATCATACTCCTTATGTAAATATATATTTCCGGAATTCTCCATGAAGTATATCACTGTCTGTCTTGATGATAATAATTACCGTTACTATAAACTGCGATTACGTTTCGTAGGAACGAACCTCATGTTAACCACACTTAACTGCTTGTTTTAAGTTCGGTTAGCCGGGGTTTCGTTCGGCATTCGAAAGTCAACAGATATCCGCCCTTCTCATGTTAACTATAACTATGGATACAAATCTACATGTTTCTGTGGGAGCAGTTACATTGGGAGAAAAGCAAGAAGAAGGGTACACCTATGATTTTCAGGCCATGTACCATCTCAAGGGAACAAACAATAGTGCTATCGCTGAACATCTCATCGATAAGGGTAATAAGATAGAAATCGCAACACCTTTTAAAATTACCAGTGGACAAAAACGTTCAGTTCTCCTCAAGTTTACCGAAGCAATGATTATCAGACGCCTGAAACCTGATTTATGCATTCAAAACGAACCAACTAGCAGTCTTTCCATGGCCTGGTTACTGGATGTCTTTGTGCTCTCTTTCATTTAATCACATTATCTTTGAGCTTATCCCTAAGTCAAGTAAGAAGAAAGAAAACAGAAAAGGAGAAAGAACAACCCCCCTGAGGAACATCAGCTAGAGTAAGTGAAGCAGTGGAGGACTTACCCCTGTCAACAGCGTATTGCCTCAAATCAGAAAAATAGGAATTCAACCACTTGGTAATCCAACAGTTTGTTTGTGTCACAGCAAGCTTGTTTAATAAAACAGGCCCAGATACACAGTCGAAGGCAGATTTGTAACCTAGGAAGGCACACTGAACATATTCGGCGCCTCTATCTAAACTAGAGACAATACTATGATATAAGACACAGTGACATCTACAATACACCTTTGAATAAAGACTCAAGCTTATGTAAAAGCAGTCTTTCCATTATCTTTGAAAAAAAGGTGAAGTAATGGCATCATTGTGCGTCGGTGGCATAGCGGTTAGGACGCACGCCGACCATGCACATGGTCCGGGGTTCGATCACCGGCCGGCGTACTCCTTTACCTCGCTAAGCCAGTAGTGAGACTGGTGAAGAGGAAAGGTTTGGCATGAGGCTAGCAACCCCATCCTGTAAAAATAATCACCACTGCTAGAGAAACTTCAAGCATCTAGCTTGGAGTCCTATGTTCCACTGGGAACGTGCAGGAAAATTAAAAAAAATGGCATCATTGACTGGAGACAACTGTTGATATGGCTCAAAATCCTTGTTGTCGTCAGTGGAGTAGAATTATCCACTCTTTGTGAAACCAGTCAGTCAGTTGTTTGAGGAGGAGGAGGAGGAGGAGCAGATAAAAACGTATCGGCAATCGTGGAGTCAGGTAACAAAGACTGCAAGAAACAGAAAAGGTCAATCAACAGCGGGTTTGTGCTTCTGATGGCCTATATATTCCACTCGGAACCCGAGGGAATATTCATAACAATAATTTTTAAAAAAATAAGAAATCAGAGGAAGAATAAAACTTTGTTTATTATTATTTTAGCGAAATACATACTCACATAACAGAATATCATTCATAATGTGTAAATAATAAATCATATAAGCAAAAGGCAAGTTTTATTGAATTAATTTCAACAGGACACCAATATTATAATAATAATAATAATGAAGCAATGAAACATGAACATGAGACCTTTGAACAACAGACAGCATCCCTCCTCCTCCTCCGATTTACATCGGTCTTGATGGTTCCCCTTTAAATGTGAACGCTTTAATCACAGTTGGTGCAGAAGTTAAAATACCTAGTGTAGTGAATAGATTTAAGGCGGCGAACACTAGCAGACAGAAACGATCCAATACCCGACAGGCTAAACGCCATTGATTTGATGTTTTCACCTCTTGATCTCTAATATGCATACCTGATGTAATAAAACGTAATTCTTTAGAGATTTGTTTTAATTTTAACAGCAAGAGATCGTCAGTATCACTGCTAGCGATGATTTGATTATCTCTTGTCTGATAACTATCCTGTTTTAATGGACTACTGAAACTTAGATCATCTGTTTTACTTGGAGATGAAAACAACAGCGTATCTGACCATTGTTTCAACTTTTCTGGTGAAGGATTTATTCTTGACTCAGTCAAAGATGAAGAGGAAGATGGAGACGATGGGGAAGCAGAAGCGGAAGCTGAAGAAGTCATTGAAGCGCAAGCTGAAGGTATATGGGATCTTGGCAGTGTTTTATCCAAATACTTGGTGGATTTTATCAATTGGCCATTGATTGCATTGGTTGTATTAGCAGGTATGGACATTCGAATGTTTTCTTTATTCGAATAGCCTATGAACAATTTAACAAAATTAAAAAGAAAAAATACATAGTTAATACACAGCTACTTTGAGTGACTACTAGTGCAACAACACAAGGGCCAGACTACAGATCGTTTATTGAGGAAATCAAGAGTTATTTATCGATTTATTTACTTATAGATTTTTATGTACATTATGTACATGCAGAGAAACAGCGTCTTCTGATTGGTTGCTTTCTTACTGAAAGTTATTCTGTCATCTCTTTGTGGCCATTTCTTTGAAGGTCAGATCATACTTCTACAAATCGTATGGGCCCACGCAAAGTCTTCTGTGATTGCTTGTTGAGTCCCTCAAGGTTAGGCTTTGTTCTTGTTTCTTCTCACGACCAAGATCAGGGACGTAAACATTAACGTCAGTGGCACAGTGGTTAGGACTCTAGCCGACCATGCACATGGTCCGGGGTTCGATCTCCTACTGACGCACACCTGGTATCTGTAGTTGGCCTGCAAAATTTGGGCTACCGATTTTAAATGCTGTAGGGTGCAGCAGGTCAGGTGTGAGAACAAATACTCGCCAGCGAAGACGTTAGCTAGCGCTTGAGCTATGTCATGAATTAACAGAAGTTAGAATTCATGAACTGGCCATTGGATCGGATCTCAGTGGCTGCTGAATGATCTACGAGCTCACCTTATAACCAGAAGGTCCCAAGTTCAAACCCCGGTGGGTGGGTACTGATGAAGAGTCCTAAATTAGAACAAAACAACTGTTCAGTATTCCCTGCAGGTTTTCCAATGGTTCTCTAACCAATGTCAGCTCATGATGAAATCCTGTAACCTATCAAATGAAGCCCTTCAAACCAATACTTGAAGAAGAATAAGTAGTTTGCACAGTTCGAGAGGATGAAATTTTACCACAGAGTTTCCTCTGGAAATCAAAATTATTATTCAGATTACCACACAATATATATGATCTGTTTGATACCATAAGTGGTAATTAAGAAACCAAGCGTAAATATACACGAAACCATATACATACTACTGACCTAGTGAGGTGAGTAGTGTGGCATACCACTTACACCAATCAGTAGAGCGTCTTAGGCAGACAGATAGATCAAGGTGATCTAATTGATCCAAACGGCTGCTTCGCTGGCTCAGGATCAAGCTCACCAGCACATATACTTTGTTTGACTGTAATAAAATCAGTCACCTCAGTCTACGTAAACTGCAAAATTGATCTGAGTATCATATTCGTAAAACACAAAATAATTGGGCAAAGAATATCCTTTTTGATAATTTCCTCTTCTGGCTCTACAATTATACATTGTGTTTATATACACAGAATATTCTAGTTTGGTGAGAGTTGGCTGCTAGCCGAATCCGGTAGACAGTAATTTACGCTATTGTTTACGTGCCCAATATTGGTCGTGAGAAAAATAAGGACAAAGACTGACTAAACAACCAATCACAGAAGACTTTGTTTGCGTAGACGGATACAGTTAACATATAGATGATCTGACATTCAAGAAACAGTCACAAAGAGATGAAAGATTAACTTTCTGTGAGAAACAACCAATCAGAAGACTGTGTTTTACTGCTAACAATAATCTATAGTAATGTACATGAAAATCTATAAATATGTGTTGATTTCGTAAATAAACGATCTGTTGCCAGGCCCTTGCCTTCTGCCGTTACACCAGAATAGAGTCAGTAATAATATTAGTGTTTTTATATATTATCGATTTGTAAAGTAAGATCACAATGGAATTGAACTGCTCCTGTGGAGCCAGTTACATAGGTCGTACAATTAGACGTGTTTATCGTCAGATTTCCGAACATCACCATGCGTTGTGGTTAAGTAAAGGACAAACAAAGTCCATTCATAGCTAGCGCTATTCTATCTCACTTAGTGGATACAGAACACAAGATTGATGTAAATGAGGCAGCTTTCACAGTCATTAACCGCATACCAACAAATCTTAACTTTGCCTTAAGAGTTCGCGTTTACTAAATATTGCTGAAGCCGTTGGGATAGACATTAAGAAGCCTAATTTATGTGCCCAAAAGAAGCTAGTTCAGACATTAACCTTAGCTTAGCCATCTAGATTTGAATGATCCTTAATTTGTTGTGGAAATTTACTTGATTTTAATTGATATTCTATTTGCTATTATATTTTTATTATTATTATTGTTACAATTTAAGCGTCCTTAATGAACTGTAATTCTATTGTGATCTTACTTAACAAATCGTTATTATTTTAAAAAACACTAATATTGTTATTGACATAATTCTGGTAAAGCGGAAAGGTTGGGCATGAGGCTAGCAACCCCATCCTGTAAAAATTAAACACTGCTACAGAAACTTCAAGCCACTAGCCTGAAGCCCTATGTTCCACTGGGGAACGTGAAGGAAAAAAAATTGTTATTGACTACTATTCTAGAATATTCTATGTATACAAACATATGTTTATGTAATTTACAGGATTTCATCATGAGCTGACATTAGTTAGTTTATATAATTGTAGAGCCAGAAGAGGAATTTATCGAAAAGAATATTCTTTGCTCAATTACTTTGTGTTTTATAGATGTCTAAATGAATATATTTTCGCTATATTGAAATATTATTTGTGGTATTACCAGTTCAGCCAAACAGCTAATCCGAATTCGGGCAGTTTGTGAACTGACTCATTTCCCTGAGTTGAGTCAAAACGAGCACACACTACCGATAAACTCGTCCCCTAATGAGTGTCAAATGGTCATCTAGCTGACTGATAAGTCCTACCGGTTGATACGACTAGTACTAAACACTACTCATCACTATCAATCAGTAGTATGTGTAGTTTCGTGCAATGTTAACCCAAAATAAAACACAAATATAATAAAGCAAGAATTAGCGGGCTGACTCCAGTTAGAGAACCTATGAAAACCAGGGAGTCCTGGACAGCTGGCTGTTTCGTCCTAGTCACAACGTTACTCGGGGGTCTAAAAGAGGAACTTTAGGTTACGCGAAGAGTTCTCATCGGCTATTCAGTAACAGAAATCTATTTCAGTGGCCAATGAATGGCACCCCCACATGAATGCTTCACAGTGGTGCACAGAGCCCCTCATTACCGTACAAAAGGGACTTCAGATACGCCATCTGTACACAGCTGAAGCATTAGCTATTCGAGATCTGAAACTGGACCTCTGTATTCAAAAGTGATACATACATTCTCTTGCCCTACCGTGGCCAGAGTAAAGTTCTTACTACAATTAGCTTCTTTCCTTTATTATGTAAGTTCACTATTATAATTATTGTTATTAATACTTTTATTATCATTATTATTCCCATCATCCATATTTTATTACCACTCTATTACTGTTTATTAATAGCATTGCTTTTTCATACAGATTTTATACAAGAACACTTTATAGCCTTTCCACTAGTGCTCCTGTCCATTCTACACGAGCTTATTGATTAGTCATTATCTCACACTTATTACGTCATGCCAACTTCTGACTCATTTCTCTAACTTACAATTAGTCATCCCTTCTTACATCTTACATTATGTAATACAATTTTTCAAGGACAAATTTTACCAGTATCTGATTGGTCTAAATAATTCTTTGTTAAATATAATTACGAATGTACAGCAGCTTATAAAAAATGAATCGTCGAAAAGAAAATTTTCTTCGCTGTTTGTGCCTTTTTCTTATGACTCAATATGAGAATATTTCCTTCATTGAAGAATTCTAACTTCTGCCCACCCCCGCTAGTCAATGCTATCGATGACAGGCTATCGTCACACCTAAATTTGTGTAGGGCCCACACGCTAGTCACAACTTCTCACTAGAACACTCCAGGAAGTTGATTTGGTCAAGTCAACCACTAACAGACAGGGATTCAATATTCCCAAGATAGACATCGATCGCCTGAGACTATTTGTGCTTGATTAAATAATCTGTTTACACATGCAAGAACATAATACAACTTACCATATTTCATAGACGCACTCCTATTGCAAGCATATTCCAGCCGACTGCTTACTCCACTTCTCATCCCACCTGCTGCTGCTGCCGCTTCTTCCTCATCGTCTTCTTCTTCTTGAGAAAAGAATCTATTCAATTGTCTTGTAGATAAATTTCTTAACTTGACTTGCTGTTGTTGTAGGGGTTCAATGAAATGATTTTGTTTAACTACTACCCCAGTATGTTGAGGAGAATTCAACTGAGGCGCTACCGTTCTATGAATTAGTACAGCAGGACGAAATTCTGAATTCACATCGATTACATTTGACCATACTGGTGTATTTTTTGTCGGAGAATTTAAACTTTCATCTCGACTATCATTGGTTAAAGTTTTGCTTTCACGACTAGCTTTGTTTGGTTTTATTCGACCTATTGAGGATTTATTGTATAAAGAAGTGTTTTCATTACAGTCTGTTAGATTAGAATTAACCCGATGCTTAGGCAGTAATTTCTCCTTTGGAGCGTATAGGTTTTCTTCAGGTGAATTATGGTCTATACGCAGAAGACTTGCTAACCAAGTATTGATCAGTGTTTCAACCTAGGAGTAGAAGGAATTTTTGAAGTGGAGAAGTCATTATGAAAATGAATAATTAAAAACAAATTCAACCTCACGAAGAGTTAGAATTCAAAGACCATTGGATCAGGTCTCAGTGGCTCAATGGTCTACGAGCTCGCTAGCCTCGTAACCAGAAGGTCCTAGGTTCAAAGCCCGGCGGGTGCATACCACTGAAAAGTCCCAAAACTAAGACGAAACAGCTGTCCAATACTCCCAGGTTTTCCAGTGGTTCTCTAACTGATGTCAGCTCATGATGAAATCCTCCATGCAATCAAACAAAAAATCCCTACAAAACCAATACTTGAAAATTAATCTGATGCTCACTAGCAATTGGTGGCCCTATTCAGGTAGTTAGTTACCTGGGGTTCTAGTGGGAAGCCGTGACCAGTAGGGTACAGCAGGTTGACGAAGATGAGGCAGTAACTCATCGAAGAAGATACTGCGAAATGGTCCAGGAAGAGTTTTATTTTTAGATTGTTGCTCTGATAAAATGATGGCTGAAGTTGAGATAAAAGCCTTAAATAATAGAAGCAACAAGAGTGAAATTTAACAGAGATGGCCAAATTACACTGGAAGTTATCAGTACCAATCTTACAACCTGAAAGAGTTTTTTTTATTCTCACCTTCAATAGCATTTCAATCACGAATCTGAATAGCTCAGTGGTAGTGTTTCTGAGTGTCCATTGGATTACGCAAGTTCGAATCTCTAAAGAGACACAAGTTCTTTCAAGGTTTAAATATCATTAATGTTGTTAATAGCAATAACTCATTCACTACTATGTATGTATATATAACTGTATAACGTGATGAAGAGCAGGGCAAAGTTAAACTTTTGACACCACTAACAACCAATCAGCAAACGACCTTGAACGGACCAATCACATTAAATAGGCATATATGATGAATGGAAACGTATATTTATAGAAAAAAGCATAAAAAAGGATAAAACGGTTACAAGGGGGTATCTTTCTCGAACATGTGAGAGATACATCTCCCATTTTAGCATGTGACCGTCAATGGCGAATTCACACCACATCCTGTACTTATATTCGTCTGAATGGCTATAAATGAGATCCTTTTGAGATCCATTTATAGCCCTTATCTTGTTTTTCAAGTGGCCCAAAAAACCTTCAATAGAATTCGTATGAGTCCTCGTAGCGGGATCCAACCAGCAAACAAGTGATTTTCTCTATTTTACACGAAGCAATATCTCTGCAATGCTGGTACCACTAAACTGTTGACGACGAGACTATTCTCAGTCTCGGCAGCTGCTGCTCTCACCGGCTGTTTCAACACCCAGTAGTTGCAGATATATAAAATCTGGGTTCAGGAAAGATGCGACCTAGCGATAAAAGTTCCTACGAAATATTAAAATTATCAGCTTACCCTCTCTAATGTTAGCACGCTTCAAACATGTAGCACAACGATGAACAAACCCATCAGTTGATTTGCTATAGCTTTTCAAAGTCATGATACCAACACCAGAACAAGTTTACTCCTTCCGGGCAATACTGGAAAACACTGTCCTACTCGAATTGCAAGCGTAACCTTGTAAGGTCACGCATTAGAAATGAATCAAGCGCTCTACAACATTGAACTGCGTTCGTGAATCTCATTGGATAATTCGCTGATTGGTGTCGAAAGTTTAACTTCGCCAAGAGCAGGTTATCGAAAAGAGTATTCTTTGTTCAGTAACCGTTCTTTTGGCTTCTGTGTCTTGCCTTCTGCTGTTACAAGGATAACTAGGTGAGTGCTTCTAAATAGCCCAGAATATTGGCACCTGCATCACCAAAAGCATTTTCAAAAAGCTACTGCAAACTTTTATCAACTAGTGGCCAGTTCTCTGGCTCTTTACTGAAGACCAGATGGTTAGCTAGAAAGTATTAGCCACTAATAACTCTGGCTGGGAACGATTCAATCAAGAGCCTAGTGCTCAACAAATATACAGGAGTAAAAATGGGGATGGATCAGGCACACTACGAAGATACTGATCTCAGTGATATCACCCACCAGAATGACCCTTGATTGAAACTCGAATGAGAAACGACGAAGATGAGTATGGGGTAACGTGGATGAGATCATCTGAGTAGGAGGAGGAGACGAGAGGCTATAGGCAGTCGTGGAGACAGTTGATTTTGACTGTATAGAACAGTACAAGATTGAGATATACTGTTGAAGCTCTATGTCTCACTCAGAACACAAAGGAATATTATTACAATTAATGTTACACTGGAAATCATTAAATTATTCGTTAACTTCACCACTGAGCTATCCTGATTTTATTGTGTATATTGGAAATGAATTTTCAAGTATTGGTTATGTAGGGATTTTGTTTAATTGCATGGAGGATTACATCATTACCTAACATCAGTTAGAGAACCATTGGAAAACCTGGGAGTACTGGACTGCTGTTTCGTCCTAGTTTGGGACTCTTCAGCAGTACGCACCCACCGGGATTCGAACCCAGGACCTTCCGGTTACAAGGTGAGCTCGTATACCATTAAGCCAGTGGGACCCGATCCAATGGTCCTTGAATTCTAACTTCTGCCAATTCACGACACAGCGCGACCACTTCTCAATGTCTTCTTCGATGGGTTACTGCCTCATCTTCATTCTACTGTATCCACTTCCCACTAGAACCCCAGGTTAACTACCTGAATAGGGTTCGAACCCCGGGGGTGCGTGCCGCTGAAGAGTCCCAAACTATGACGAAACAGCTGTTCAGTACTCTCAGATTTTCCAATAGTTCTCTAACCGATGTCAGCTCATGAGGAAATGAATTTTTTCAGTAAAGTTTTTATTACAGTCACAGGTCAACATTTCTCTTCCATTTTACCTCTGACTTAGGAAAACAGTGAAAGCATTGTAGACGAACTGTTGCATTATTGTTAGAATGAACCCAAATCTTATATGTGTTATCGCATTCACTTTAGTAATCCCCATTAACTAAATTACAAATTTTACAAAATAGATATAAAAACAAAAACACTCACAAAATATCACTCAGAGTAGAACTTACCCACCAAGGAACATAAACAATTCCACCAGTATGATGATGACAGTTTAACAGAACCACAGCACAGACCAATGAAAGGGAACACAAGATCATTGTACATGTGAAATACAAAACTATGGATATGTATGTAAATACATACAACAGCAGAGGATAATTTGTTTTCATTTATTTTTCCCACAAATGTGAATTGTTTTCATGAAATTGAAAGCAAAAAAGACAAAGAAGAAAAGAAGAAATTATAAAAGCTCACATCTCTTTCCATTAAAAAAAAAAGAAAATGATTCTTCCATAAAAAATCTTATTGAGAGTTCATTACGGATTGACATTAGTTAGAGAACCATTGAAAACCAAGGAGTACTGGACAGCTGTTGCATCCTAGTTTGAGAATCATGCACCCATCGCCAAGGTTCGAACCCAGGACCTTCCATTTACAAGGCTAGCTAGCCACTGGGACCCGACTCCTCTATGGCCATTCCATGAATTCTAACACCTACCAACTCGTGATTTCTAGTGCGACCTCCAACCTATGTCATCGGTAGGACATCCATCCTTACACCTGTATGGATGGACGTCACTGGTCATGACTTCTCGCTGGAACTATAGGAAACTCCATCATGTAACAAGTCACTAAAATAAATCATTAAATTTCACACTGGTTATTCCAGCAGGTAGCATTGTTTCGCCTCATTCCAGATTGCAGACAGCACTTGCAACTTCAGTTACAGTTGGAGAACCGATTTGAAATTCCATTCAGGTAGGTGTCGGATGCTGCGCGAGATGAGTGGGGCCAGTTAAATTACTCCTCAAAAAGACGCTCCTCTCCCAAAGTTACCACGATAATTCATTGATGTAAAATTGTTAATTTCAATACACTTTGGTTAATCTTCCGCACTTACAAGTGTCCCTTTCACACACACAAACACAAAGTCTTCTAACCCATTTTCTCTCTCTCTCTCACTGTTTTTGATATTATCAAGCATCTAAAGGAAATATATAGTCAGTATGAATGCAATTCACTATGAACATTAGTATTCATAATCATTGATTAAACCTCCATTTATATTCGGTGTTATTCATAAGCATCTACTCTTGATATCTAGTATTAAATTTCGTGTTGTCAATAACAACAATAATTCTTTATTTATTGTGATTATGTATGTACACATAATTAGCGGGTTCGAAAGCATCTGTAACATGGTTATATGCGTGAAAATGTAATATTAAATTGAATATTAGATAAATTAGGAGAAGTATTACACCGATATAAGGATAAAACTTGGGCACTACTCTGGTGGTAGAGTATAAATCCATTATGGATAAAAATTTACTTTGATAAAGTCACACACACACACAGTGTAGTGTTATACAGTAATATTTACTAATGCCACCACGTTCCGAGCCCAATGTATCATTGCTACTCATAATTATATCAAGACACTCACTCACGCAACTTTCTTGCCTCATTGTTATACACGAGTAAAAACTGATGATTTGACAATTGAATAAAATCAATATAAGATGAGAAAGTACATTCAGGAATAATATTAGTGTTATCAATCAAGTACAATCAGATGGGAAATATGATGTTTTCATAGTAAAATAAATAAATAGCTTGTTAGAATGTTATAACGGGAATTGAATTGAATACATTTTAGCATTATTTATTATCCTCCTCTGATTTGTTTGGTGGTAATAATATCTTGCATAAATATATCTCTGGTATTTGCATTGAGTCGCTTCTATTGTATGTGTTGGGTGTGGACTTGATGAACCAGGATTCACTTTAGAATTTTAACTGTGTCTCACGTACCCATATTGTATGGTTGTATGTTAATGCATGCAGTGCAATTCAATGTTGAGCTTTTTTTCTAAATTACTTATTTTCGTGGGTGGAGTCAGTCATTCTAGCCTCAGGTAAATTCGTATGTTCTGATAATCTCACTACTCCTGATCTACTTACTAGTTTGACTGACCTATGTAGTTCACCTCACTCACAGTCACTGCAAGACATTTTGTAAATTATATCATTTTGTTTAATTAGGTCAACCGGGTCATCTAAGCTACAGAGCTTGTGTCTGAGTGAGTTTGTAAGTTTGAATGCCATCAGCCTAACTCCTGCTTTATTGGAAATTCTACGTAGGGTCTCCTCCTTATATGGTAAAACTACTGTAGATGCCTTATAATCTTTCTCATTTATTTTATCACTCTGATCAATTTCATCATTATTTTTATTTTTTGACGTTTGAAACTATGGGTACTGGGTTCGAGCCTCGGTGGGAACATCATCACTCACTGAGAAATGCAGGTACATCCAGGTGACGAGTCCCAAATAGGACGAAATGCGCTTTATCCTGGATTCCACTGCTAGTCACCATCCACCATTTATTTTTATTTTGCTTATGAACGAATTTGATATTCCTAATATATTCTATGGGATATTTATTTAACATTAACCGGTTACTCGTCTGTCGGGTTCATTTCATCGTTTACGTTCTTTTAATGCACTACTTAGTGCTACTACTCGGTTTGTTAGACACTTAACTATGCCTGTCTTAACAGTTAACGGATGAGATGAATTAAAGTCTAAATATCTATTAACAAAACGCGTTGGATTTTTATAAACGCTAGTGTACAGTTTACCTTCTCCTGTTTGTTTTATTTTACAATCTAACTTCATAGCTAATTCTCCATGTTACATAACTACATTCATAATTTATTACACAATTGTAATTGCATAATGATATTACATAAGCGCATAAAGTATGAATAACAATTACATAATTTGTGTATTTGTAAATTCCACGGCAGGTTAGGGCAGCACAATAGTTGTTGGACATGCACCTTTTGCATTCAGAGCTCCAGTTGATTTAAGCGAATCGCAGAGGTCTCTTCTGTTTAGAGTGTTCAGTACTTGGATGCCTTTGAAAATTTACTCAGTACCCAACAGATGATAGAATTAGATTCCTTAGTGATAGCTTTGTGGCCGATTTGGACCAGGTGCCTTAATATTGAGCTGTTGATGGTTTCACTACACCTTTATTTAGCCCATAGTGATAGGTGTTCCTGAGTACGAAAGATTAAGCTCATTGAGCAACGGGGAATATAACTGGCTTCACAAAAGCAGTTGCACTGATAGATATAACTGAAGGTAATTTAGGAAAAACAATCGGTTGTATAGAAAATATAAACTGTAGCTTACTGGCACTAAACGTTCTCTTTAAGTTGATTTCCTCAACTTGTCGGCTTTTATTTCGCTTGGTACATCACCTTTCAGTTTTAGTCGTATATTATATACAATGACTTTTCAGACTACCTGTTTTCAAGTAACATTGCAATTCGCTTAAATCAGTCGGAGCTCTGCGAGCAAACACAAAACATATCCAGCCATTATTGCTACCTTCGCGTGCTCTCGAATCTACAAAATTCATAAATTCTGTATTATATTCCTCAATTTACCTGACATTCTGTTTAGTGTTATAGTGACTCCTATATGTAAAGTCAGGGCTACTATACGGATCAGAGACTTGGCGAGTCATAAAGAGCATCTCCAACAAACTTCAGACCTTCATCAACAGCTGCCTTCACTCAATACTCAAGATCAGATGGCCAGCCAGAAAAGATCAGCAGCAGCAGGGATCTCTGGGAAGGAGAGAACCAACCCAGCAGGAACCGACTGTGCAAAACATAAGCAGGAAGAAACGGAGATGGATTGGCCATACTCTGAGAAAACAAACCATCAAGTGACATCACTAGACAAGCCATTGCTCGAGTGGAACCTGGCCGAAAGGGAAGCGGAGAGTTGGTCGTCCCACGATGGGGTGACTTGGAGGAGGTCATGTGAAGAGGAGATGATAGCATGTGGGCAGACTTGGAGCGGGGTGAAAAAATTGGCAGAAAACAGAAGGCAATGGAGATGCGCAGCTGAAGCCCTATGTTCCTCTAGGAACTAAAGGATATCATAATAATAATATGGTTTTGAACTGTTATCTATACAGATCTTATCGCCTGAGTGTAACTTAAAACATGAATAATTCGTGAAAACCAAAATTATTTAGTGACTACGGATGCATATTACTGTAGGACTTGATAAAGATGAACTTATCGAAAATGTGAATATTCTTTGTTCACTCCCCAATCAGTCATTTGAACATATTAAATCAATAAAATATATATATAAATATACATAGATGTGCCAAGATTATAACAACTAACCAAGTACAGGATTGCCTGATGACGTTTGAGGTAGTTTATCACCGACAAGCTGTAAAAGCATAGTCAATGAAAGCAAAGTAGTCACGCCTGCAAAAAGGGGGAAAAATAAATAAACTATGAATAATGTCCATTTTTGATGTGTCAATGATATAATAATATATTAAGATATGTGTATGTAAAACTGGACCATTGTGATAGTATGTAACTCCATATCAGTTTGATTAGATGACTTCATTATGAACTGACATCGCTTGCAGAACCATTAGAAAAACCTAGTCCTAGTTTAGGATTATTCATCAATACAAACCCACCACAGGGGTTTCAATTCAGGAGCTTCTGGTTACAAGGCGGACTGGTAGACCACTCAGCCAGTGGAACCCAATCCAATGGCCTACCCATGAATTCCAACTTTATTGCCTATTGGATATATCATCAAACAGTATGAAACGGTATTACCATTATTTACCGGAACACAATTCGTTACTGGTTGAAGGATTTCTTATATGCATATCTCCGCGACATAACATATATCCATGGTTTGAGATGCCAGACTTCTTGCGAGTAATACCTGTTTTCGGATTTGGCAGGGGGTCCTCATGTTGGATGCTCCTCTATATGAAGTTGGCGAAGTGGCTTTAAGAGGCTATCAGGGGTATTTCTCTGGCTCTCATTGTTATTTGTCATCACAGAATGAAATGAAGATGACTTACTAGCCTGCAGAATAGTACTGATAGAAATAGGGAAGCAGGTTGATGAGGGAGACAGGGATAAAAAAGGATGATGGTCAAGAGGGCTTCGTGTGCTTTAGGAAGTATGTGGGTGGTTTGTTACTTCTCGGCTGACCACACCGTAGACTTTGATTTCTTCTTGAGGTACCTGAAACAGAAAGATAATTAGTGTTGCGTGACCGCAGAGTCCAACAGACAACTACTAGAGACTGGTCACACACACGGTCTGTCCGAACTGACTTTTTAGTTTGTTTCACACCAGTAACTTACTGCCGGTTACAGACCACCGTAGGGTAAGTCGGGAGTCAAGAGACAGCATAGTTGACTGGCATGCTAGTCGTCTGAGGGAAACACCTTACTGCTGTTACATCCCTACTCCCTGGCAGTACCACTTTGCCCACAGACCCCAGCATAGTGTTAAAAAAGTCTAACACTATGCCGGTTACTGCTTTTAGTATAATCACTATCCTAACAATCTTCCTGACATAGCAGAACCTGCATAAACATTAGTTCCAGCCTGTGTAGCCTAACCATCATGTCAAGGTAGCAGCTAACGATTGGGTCGTAACCAGTAGGGTCCATCAGGTCTGGAGTGAGGGCAAATATTCGCTGATGACATTGGTTGGTGTTCACGCAAAATTCACGAAACGGCAGGAGTTAGAATTCATGGCCTGGCCATTGGATCGGTTCCCAGTGGCTGATTGGCAAGTATACGAGCTTGACCTTGTAACCGCAAGGTCCTGAGTTGGATCTCTGACGGTAAGTGTGTACTGCCGACGAATTCCAAACTAGGACAGAGGGGCGCTGTTAAGTGCTCTCTGCTGGTTTTCAGTAATGGTGTCTCTAACTGATATCAAAGCATGAAAATATGAAAACTAGTCAAATTCGACTTACCTAGTACAATTTTCTCATTTGCTTCAGGTGGTAGAGTGAATACAAGCAGTGCCATCACTGACATTATCATACACGGTATTATAATATTGAACACATAGTAAAGAGCACGACGTTGCATATAAACATTTATAGTCACATCGATATACGTTTGATCATCACTACCATAAGTTTGAATATTTCGTTTTACTAAGCCCTCTTTAAAGGGGAGAAGACAAAAATAAAATTAAACATAACATAAATCAACAGATATTGTTTAAGCATAAAATAGTTTAGTTCAGTTTAGTGTAAATGAATGAATACTCGTCATTCAGACATTTAAGAAAAGAACAAAACAACAGGTGTATTTCAGCCATGAGGCTCTTTCTCAACGAATTCATCTTCCTATTTAGCTGTACATTTATATGCATACATACATGCATACCACAACGCAAAACAACAGAATTTAAACTGGATATCTTCTCCAAGTCACAGATATGAAACAGGAATGCACAATATGCTTAATTTATTCTCGTATAAAGTGTACCAGAGCACAATCGTATTGTGAACTAGAATACTGATACCAATTTCATAGATTTCTCAGTACATAACGTCAACTTGATAACAGTCCTGCTATTGAGTTATGACAGTGGCTAGCAGTGGAATATAGGATGCGAGTTTCGTTCCGTCTGAGACTTATCAACTGAATCTACCACTATCCTGAATAAATCCTAATATTATTACTATGTAAATTTCTCAAGAACGGCTATAGTTTCCAGTAATATATATATTCTGTTTAAAGCAACAATGATCCTAAACAAATCAAATCATAATTTGCATGCGATTTCCTTCACCATAGTTCATAAGTCTTAATACATACAGTCGTTATTTACTCAAAAGATGATTTCGACTGATTCTTGAGGGCAAATAACCACAATACTATATGAAATTGATAAAGCATTCATCTTAGTGTCTAAAGCACAAAATGTATCTGACTTCTACCCTGGGTTCGAATCCCACTTCGGCTAATACAAACTAAACAACTAGTTAGAATATCGTTAAACCTCATACAACAAGTATAGCTCATTTCACTGTTAAATGAAAAGTCTGTTCAAGGTAAGTGAGTTCCATCAACACGAATTTCGACCAAGACTCAAGACGTGACATTTGAAACCACTGTTGTCGAATATTGAGTACTTTAAAACTCCATATTGGCTTCAATCTCTAGAGTTTCAAGTTTCAGTGGTGTTGTTTCTCTCTGCGAAGTGGAATTGCTAGCCTCACACCTGAACCCCCACCACACTTTTCCCGTCATACTGTCTATCTGTTACGCGAGGTTTGGTAGTGTTTGTCGACTGAGAATCTCATCTGGACTTTACAGGTGGCTGGGGACTAATCTACCATAGAACCATCGAAACACTCTTGAAAACTAACTTCACCTATAGACCTTCGTGCATTTTCGGACATTGGACATAGATCATCCATGAAGCTCAGACATTCCAGAGTATTTACGTAACCTGGTACACTTGCCAGTTGGTCTAAAGCCACCAAAAAAAAGATGGAAGGTTCGATGTGGGGCTAGCGACTATACCATGGAAAATACTGTCGAATAATCAATAACCATTATGATTAGAATTTACATTGTACACTAGAATTTTTATATGAAATAGAATTCGAAATTGTTACTCTTAAGATAGATGTAAGACATAATAAAATGGTAAATTATAACTTTCAAAACACTTTGAATTTTCTCCAGATAGTGTTACTTAGACTAACTTCTTCAAGTAACAATAGTGTAGGTGTTTAACAGGCGTTTAAATTTGTTCTTCAGAAATAAACTACTATTTAAATTAAAGGAGTCGTGGAGATTTTGAGTTGTTACCTGTTCATCAATGAATAACAACATCAGTTAGAGAGATCATTGAAAACCAGCATAGAGCACCGTACACTCAGCTGTTTCGTCCCATTTTAGAACTCTTCGTTAGTAGGCACCCACAACCCCACTACTGATCGAACTTGGGACCTTCAGGATACGAGATCAAGCGCATTGATCATTTAGCCACTTGGGCTGGAACCCAATGACCAAAGAATTCTTACTTTGCCAATCAGTAGGTACCACAGTGAGTCCCTAGTGGAGTCGTGGGTGCGTACTGATGAAGAGCTGCAAAATAGGACGAAACAATTCCATATTAGTTTGTTTATTAGATATATCACACAGTGAAACAGTATTATTTAGTGGATAACACAGTTTCGTACACAATTTATTACTGTTCATAATCATATCATTTCTAATCACACGATTTTGAAACTTGAGTTTTATAGATTTCTTTGTTTTCTCCCATTTGTCGTCGTAGGCGTGGTAGTAGAATTTTCCATATATCTGGGACAGGTGTTGAATCATTTCTATTACATGTATTTTCAGTTGATTCGAAAAACAAAGCTTCTGTTAGCAATCTCTCCCTCCCTCCACCCTGTGACATTAGATTTTAAAACTGTCATCCTATCCCATCCCATTGTATGGTTGTGTGTAATTGCATGTGGTGTAATGCTATAGCTGAACTTTTCTCTAGATTTCTTATCTCATTTGGGTCAACCAATCTAGTATTAGCTAGGTTTTTATGTTCGTCTAGTTGAACCTAGCTAAATCTAGTGTGTCCAAGTAAAGGTGTAGTAAAAACCATCATCAACAGTTCGATATGAGATCACCTGGTCGAAATCGACCAGCCACAGAGCCAGCACTGAAGACTCCTTCTCTATCAACTGCCGGGTACCGAATAAATCGCCAAAAACATCGAGATACCGCATGCTCCAAACAGTAGATACTATCGTGATTCGCCTCAAACAACCAGTGCTTTGTGTGCAAAAGAAACAAGTTCAACCAGGCAACTAATACTGCCTTGGTCAGCCTTCAGTGGAGACTGTTCATTCATGAATTGGTATTATTATCTCTCCTAATTTGCCTGTCTGATATTCAGTGTGTATTGTTGTGTTGATCTTATCCAAGTGTAATCCAATAATATAATCATTATTGATTCGATGTTATTTAAAGACCACTAATGTTATTAATAACACTAATTCATTCATTCACTATTATGGATGGATATATAACAGTATAATGTGATGAAGAGCAGGTTATAGAAGACAGTATTCTTAGTTCAGTAACCCTTCTTTTGAAAATATACAGTCCAGGTAGAGAACCATTGAAAACCATCAGGGAGTACTGGTCTGTCGTCCTGGTTTTGGATTTATTGGCAGTACACACCCATTTGGACCCGACTCAATGTCCAGTCCATGAATTCCAACTTCTTTAAGTTTTATGATTTTAGCGTGACTGGCACTCACCAATATTATCGACTAACCAACCAGGTGGAAGCTGTTGGTTACGATTTCCAGCTAGAACTCCATACAAATTAGTCATGTCCGCCCGTCAATCCGCCAATAGTGACCATTCGATTAATTTTCAAAAGTTTGTTTTTTGGGGACGAAACAGTTGACTGTCTAGTACCACGCCTTGATGGTTTTCAATGGTTCTCTAACTGGCATCGATCCGTAGTCAAACCTGAAACCAATTAAAATTCCTATATATATATATATATATATATATATATATATATATATATATATATATATATACGATTACTGAAATTTACTCACTTTCTAAGGCCCATTCACTATTAGCTAAATAGGTGGATAAATCAACTTCATTTGCATAATGACAAGGTTTATCTTCTCCAGTTTCATTATCACACTGTAACTTTAAATCAACTTTATTCCCCTGATACGTCCAAGTACCAAATTTCAAAATACAATTCTAAGAATAAAACAGTAAAATTTTATTTTACAAAAAAAACAAAAATTTATTTTAGATACAGACACAAAAAGAGCGTAATTTTTTCAACATTTGCAGGTGTCATTTGTAAAAAAAATTATATTTGTAAAATCTCAACGAGATTGAAATGAGTAATTCCAACGTTCCCTAGGTTCGGCAGTCTGGTTCGAACTTCTTCAGGGAAATTAATCGAAATTAACTTAACAGCGGTTTATATATAAAAGGGACATCTCTGGCTTTTTAAAAACTTTGTCTAATCATGAGTCATAAAACAAGTATTAACAAGTATAACAAACAAAATTGTATGAGCTGTGATCAAAATTTGACCTCGGACTTACAAATATTAGTCTACCTTTGTAAAAAATTATATTTGTAAAATCTCAGCGATATTGAAATGAGTAATTCCAACGTTTCGTTCGGAAATCTGGTCCGAACTTCTTCAGGGAAATTAATCGAAATTAACATAACAGGTTTATATATAAGAGGAACATCTTTAGTTTTTAAAAACCTTGTCCAATCATGATTTATAAAACAAATATTAACAAGTATAATAAACAAAATTGTACGAGTTGTGATCAAAATTTGACCTCAGACTTACAAATATTGATCTACCTTTGTTAAACACTTTAAACACAGTGTGTATGTGTGTGTGTGTGTGTGTGTGCGGATAAACAGTTGTAAAACAATGTCTTAACGTCTCCATAAGTAGATATAGACAGTCGGGAATTTTTCGACCAAGTATTATCAATTAGTGATACATATCCATTCTTATTTATTAATCAGGATTTCCTATGCATCAGCTAACAAGATCACACCTTCCTGTCTGTTCAAACTGTTAGTATCTAGAATTTTATGGTGATTAGACGTATTTTCAAAATTATGGTGTTTAGGATTAGAGTTTAGTTGAACAACCCCGTCAAACTTATTACTTTGTCTTCTTTCTGAAAATTGAGCTGCTTTATTCGACCTACTGAAGTTGTCAGGTGACTGGACAGCTACGAATTTAGGATACGCATTCCGCTGCAGACAACGGAGAGTGGAAACACGATGATTGTGCCAAATACATAGTTTCTTTGTTAATTTAATTCGATTACAAAATAAATCAAATGAACTGTAGTCAAGATTTGACAGAATAGTTCTATAATATTTGGGCGCCGAGTGAGAAGTAGACATTTGTAAAAAATTATATTTGTAAAATCTCAGCGATATTGAAATGAGTAATTCCAACGTTTCGTTTGGAAATCTGGTCCGAACTTCTTCAGATGTTCCTCTTATATATAAACCTGTTATGTTAATTTCGATTAATTTCCCTGAAGAAGTTCGGACCAGATTTCCGAACGAAACGTTGGAATTACTCATTTCAATATCGCTGAGATTTTACAAATATAATTTTTTACAAATGTCTACTTCTCACTCGGCGCCCAAATATTATAGAACTATTCTGTCAAATCTTGACTACAGTTCATTTGATTTAGTCTACCTTTGTTGAACACTTTAAACACAGTATGTATGTGTGTGTATGTGTGTGTGTTTGTGGGTAAACAGTTGTAAAACAATTTCTTGACGTTTCCATAAGAAAATATTGACAGTCGGGAACTTTGACCAAGCATTACTAATTAGTAATACATATCCATTTTTATTTATTAATCAGGATTTCCTAAGCATCATCTTACAAGATCACACCTTCAACTCTGTTCAAAACTGTTAGTACCTAGAATTTCATGATTAGACGTATTTTCAAAATTATGGTGTTTAGGATTAGAGTTTAGTTGAAGCAGCCTGTTGAACTTATTGCTCTGTCTTCTTTTTGAAGATTGAGCTGCTTTATTCGACCTTCTGGAGTTGTCAGGTGACTCGACAGCTACGGATTCAGGATATGCATTCTGTTGCAGACAATGGAGAATGTGAAAACACGATGATTGTGCCAATTACATATAGTTTCTTTGTTAATTGAATTCGATTGCAAAATAATTCCAATGAACTGTCGTCAAGATTTGACATAATTTTGAAAATACGTCTAATCACCATAAAATTCTAGATACTAACAGTTTGAACAGACAGGAAGGTGTGATCTTGTTAGCTGATGCATAGGAAATCCTGATTAATAAATAAGAATGGATATGTATCACTAATTAATAATACTTGGTCAAAATAGCCGACTGTCTATATCTTCTTATGGAGTCGTTTTACAACTGTTTACCCACACACACACACACACACACTGTTTAAAGTGTTTAACAAAGTTAGACCAATATTTGATCACAACTCATACAATTTTGTTTATTATACTTGTTAATACTTGTTTTATGTCTCATGATTGGACAAAGTTTTTAAAAAGCCAGAGATGTTCATCTTATATATAAACCTCTGTTATGTTAATTTCGATTAATTTCCCTGAAGAATTTCGAGGCACCAGATTTCTGAACTCAAGAAACGTTGGAAGGAATTACTCATTTCAATCTCGTTGAGATTTTACAAATTTCTACTTCTCATTCGGCACCCAGATACTTTAGAACTATTCTGTCAAATCTTGACAACAGTTCATTTGAATTTGCAAGTGTCATTTGGTTGTAATAGCAAAAAGGAATGGAATGATTTTTAATGCTTTTCAGTCTTTTAGTCTTTTTAGTTAAACTCATTCTGGAAGTAATTATATCAACAATGGTATCTGATATATTTATATATTGATTGGACACTATTAACTAACTGGTGTGATATGCCTAGCCCTTTCTTTGGTGCAGACTGAATTCTACAAGTCAGTCAGGTTTGCAATGTGGCCACCATGACACTAGGTAGTTCACCATCACGATGTACATTGATTTGATGGTATTTGATGGTTGGAGGCCATCGGCCACAGGAATCCTTGCCAGACACCTGGGTTTCGTGCTAGTTGGCACTTATCCAATACAGTATTCCTACAGGATGTCAGTCACTAGCCTGAATAGCTCAGCAGTAACACGTCTCTCTAACTGCAGCAGGCAGCACTGACTAGTGACGCGAGTTCAAATCTCAGAAGGGAAATCATTATTTCCTTCAAGGCAGTTACAGATACACCTATCTCGCTGACTGGTGAGTGTCAACAAAGCACGAAACCTAGATCTAGTCAAGCAAAGAGTTACTCTTCTTACCGGTATCATTCTCAACCTTTACAAATCTCATATATAAAAGAGTAAACTATCTTAGCAACAACAAAAGGAATATTTTCAAAGACTGGCCCTATTCAGGTAGGTTCTAGTGGGAAGTCGTGACCAGTAGGGCGCAGCCGGTCGGGTGTGAGGACAAATACTCGCCAGGGATGACACCGACTAGCGGTCGCGCTATGTCGTGAATTGGAAGAAGTTAGAATTCCTGGACTGGCTGGCCATTGGATTGCGTCCCACTGGATGGCCTAATGGTCTACGAGCTCGCCGGCCTTGCAACTAGAAGGTCGTGGGTTCGAACTCTGTCGGTGGGTGAGTACTAACAAGGAGCCTCAAACTAGGACGAAACAGCTGGCTGTCCAGTACGCCCAGCTGACTTTCCAATGGTTCTCTAGTCAATGTCAGCTCATGATGCAATCCTGTAACCAATCAACCAAATCCCTATAAACCAATACTTGAATGTCTTATTAATATTGTGAATTTTAGATGGCAAATTACATAATGTAGAATAGGTTAATAGGATAGAAAACACCATAAAATTAAATAAGTTAATTGAGTCACATAATATATAATTGACAGGGTTGAGTAGAATTCAACTAGAATCTGAACAAGAGTCAAGTTAACAAGAGTGGTAATAGGGGGAAAAATTTAATTGGGGAGCAAGAAGAGGAAATAATGCAATTACGAAACAAACAAAAAGAAATTACTTATCCAGTTTTAAGACAGATCAGGCCCATTTTAGATGCAATGACTGAACAAACTTCTTCTCTTTGCATTATGCAGAGTTCAGGATTTAACATGTGAATCACCATTGCTTCTTTGGAATTTGAAGAAGTTTGATTCGTACACTTTAAGCGAGATTCCTGCATATTCTGTAGGTAATATTGAAGTTCTTCAGGTGGTTGTATTCTCTGAGGTAGCTGGATAGATAATTTGCGAAGCTTTCATTGCCTCCTTCTAGGCTACATCTTCAGTGCATACTTCAATTGGAATTGAAGTGAGCTTTTAGATATCTCCACGAGTTTATTAATCATCTCTCCTGTTGACCTTGGCCGTGATTAAGGAAAATTGAAGAAAGATATCTCATGGACGTCTTCCAAAAGGATGGATATCCACGGAATTTCATCAAAAGACGTATATCTCCAAGCAGCCAACCTACCAAATCAAAGATCTCCAAGAAAAGCACAAAGAAAATCACTCTACCACATATAGAAGACATCTCAGAAATCACTGCAAGACTCTTCAAACCTTTAGGAATTTATTTCGCACACAAACCAACAAAATCACTTCACTCAGCTGATTCCATGTCAACCAAAAGACTCAACAACGAATATGAAACCAACATCATCTACAAAATAAATTGTAACAAGTGCGAAAAACACTACATTGACCAAAGTGGACGTCCCCTTCGTCTTCGTATCCACGAACATAAGCTAGCCATCAAAAGATATGATATCCACTCCCTCATATCACTACATACAGACAACCACGGACATCAATTCAACTGGGACAAACAGCGTTCAAATATTAGACAGAGGAGACAACAAGAATGCTAGAGAATTTTTAGAAGCCTGTCTGGCATTCCAGTGAACCATCAATCAATAGACACATCGAGATAGACAAAATTTATCAACCGATAATAAAGAAACCTTACACACACAAAAGGTCAAAGTTCAAATCAAAGAAACAATCAGTTCCAATACAAGTAACCTAGAAAGTGTGAAAACACACATAAACAACTAATCACATCCAAGGTCACCGACCAGGAGAGATGATTAATAAACTCGTGGAGAAACCTAAAAGCTCACTTCAACAAATTTAAGTATGCAGTGAAGATTTCGCCTAGTAGAGCGATGAAAGCTTCGCAAATTAACTATCCCGCTAGCTTAGAGGACACAACCACATGAAAATCATCCACTTGAGCTACAAATTTTCTCTATCATATCTAAACTTTGAAGTTCCTTTGTGGGTGGTTAGCTTAGTGTCCAGATTCGATCAGGTGTACCGAAATAAAGTTGAATTCTACTCAACCCTGTCAACTATATTACGTCACTCAAATTAATTATTTAATTTCATTTTAGTTTCTACCCGATTAACCCTCACCAAAGCATTCAACTATGTCAAAACAGAATTCAGTCTTCATCCTTCAACACCAAGGACTAAACTCATGACATTAGCTGTTATCTGTTTTCCGATCAAACTATCCAACATAGTCCTACAGGAGGTTAATTATCAGTTCGAATAGCTCCTCAGTGGTAACGCTTCTGACTGAACCACTGGGTGGGTGATACGGATTCGAATCTCACAAGGATGTGGGTTACTTTGATTTGATTTTAGAAATGCTTACCTGAGAATCAAAAGGAAACCAATTGACTTCAATATCGCATATTGAATGAAAAAGCCCCGGTGGAACCCACTGAATTTGTCCATTATTTCTTACTGTCACTTTAGTGGGGAACATTTGATCAAATTTTTCACTAGCACTAAAAACAAAATACAAATAAAATAGAGAGTATTTTATCCAAATGTGGGGAGGATGAGACAAGCGAATACTAAAAACACTGTGTGTGTGTGTGTGATTTTCGGATCGATCAATACATTGCTGATTGACTGAATGACTAACTGACTGACTGACTGAGCTCCAACACCAGATTCTACATAGTTCAAATTGTCTGTCATATGGCATTAATTGTAGAGAGACAAAAAGGTAATAAAACTTCACAAGAATTATAATGATGAGCAGAACTGTACGCGAGAAGGAATAATTACATGACGAAACATGGATCTCGGGAAGATTACAAAAAGAGTGAATGCATCACTGACAACAGTTTTGAGCCATATCATCTAAATTTTCATTTCACCGAGTCTTGGGCAGTCTACATTCCCCTTTTAGCTGGCTGGATGATATTAATAATATGCGTTTAAAGCCATTAGTGCATTCGTACTCCATGGTCGCTATTCTTTAACTCTCCGGTATGTAATTTACTTCACTTACCTATTGTATAACAGAATATCAGGTTTCCACATTCTTTCTTGAGGTAAATTTATCTGTCTTATATTTTCATAATCACTTAAATTCCATTGGAAATGATAATCTGTCCATTTCTAAAAAAAGAATTAAAAAGCGAATTAGAATGGGCGTTTTTTTAATATTATAAAAAGGTTATATGATGAATAAACATTGTTTGTTTTGATGAACTGAATTGAATTATCAACATTCAACTTTGAACACACACACACACACACAAAGAGCGGCAGTTCAAGTTACTACAACCATCTGTCAAAGAAGCAAATATAAATTTACACCCAATGTAACACAATGAGGCGAGGCGTTTGGAGTAAAACAGGAGTCAGAGAAGAGTGGTTATTTTTACCAATGATATTCCTAATTGTGGTGGATTCGATTATGCGTCAGACAGTAGGAAACGACAATATAAGGAGATCCTGGACCGATGTGAAGAACCAAAAAAACCTGGATATCGCGCGTGCATGATTTATGTTTGATTTCACACGAAATCGATAACCTACAAGCGAAAACTGACAAACTGGTCGAAGAAGCAGTCGACGAAGATTGGACTCCAGGTGAACATAGACAAGACGGAGGTTATGAAAATAACCAACCAACAACAACAACAACAGCAGAAACAACATCCAGTGCCAATCACCATCAACAGGAGGAATTTGAAAGAGGGTACTTAATTCACTCACCTATCTAGGCAGCATTGTCTCAACTACAGGAAGTCGGAACCGACGAGGATGTCAAATCGAGCGAGAATCGGGAAGGCGAGAAACACATTCATCAAACTGAAACCAATCTGGAAATCTTCGTCACTCAGACACCATCAACAACAAAATTCGGTCGGAGTTTCAATACAACCACGTCAAGTCAGTCAGCTGTTCTATACGGATCAGAAACTTGGCGCTTGGCGGATCACAAAGAATATTTCCAACAGCCTGTTGCAAACGTTACTTTTATCAACCAACAACTGTCAACTATCGCTCTATACTGAAGATGAATCAGATGGCCAGGCCGGAAAAAATCACCAACAAGAAACTATGGGAAGGAACACACAAAACAAGAACCAACTGATCGCCAACCAACAAATATGCAGGAGAAAGTAGAGATGGATGGATTGGACACTGGCTGAGGAGGCCGCCGCTGGGTGACATCGCACGCGCATCAGGCCATTGCTCGAGTGGAACCAGGCCGAAAGGGAAGCGGCGAGTGAGACGTTGGTGTAAGGATGACATGGAGGAGATCATGTGATGAGGAGTTGGTACAGTATGGAATAACATGGATGCAAGTGAAAAGTACAGGAGAAGACAGAAAGAAGCAAGTGGAGACGTGCAGTTGAAGCTCTGTGTTCCACTAGGAACCCAAGGGAACATTAATAATAATAATACAATGTGGCTATAAGAGACAAAAATTTACGGGAACAAAAATGAGTAGAGTTTTTTTTAATTTGGTTATGTCCTCTGAGTTGGATTGTTGGTCTAACTGTGAAGTTTTCAATATCCTACTAGACGAAATCGCTTCAGTGCAAGTCCTAATATGAAGTGAATTCCTTGGAATACCTTTGTAAGTGCCAATTTCAACCTCCACAAATAGATCTTAATGTCAGCATGTATTAAACTTGCTTTCCTCAATTGATCCTCAACAGTACACTACCTACCATATATGTACTGATGAATCAAGTTCAGGCAGAAGGCTTATGCACTGGTGTGTGCCCTGATATGAATTATTTTATTTTTGATTACATCTTGATTTCACACCGTATTTTTGGTACAGGTATGGAGTTTTCAACATGTGATATCGGTAGCCCAAATTTTGCAGGCTGACCATAGATATCAGGTGTGCTTCGGCAGAGGATCGAACACCGAACCATGTGCATGATCAGAGAGTCCTGACCGTTATGCCACCGATGCACAAGTGAAAACAAGTGAAAAACCAAAAATTAATACGCAATAATATTGTACAACTTATCTGTTGACAGACTGGGGTAACAAGCTCCAGGAGTATGTTTAATGATAGCACAACGAGGGATAGAGCCACATGAGAACAGTCAAGCGCATCCATTTTATATCATCAGATTTTATTAAATGTAAATGTTCGTTTCTTTCCCTACTTTTACAGGTTATTTTTGTTATTATCATTGATTTTTTTAAACTCATTAAAGGGGACGAAAATGTGCTTCTAGAAGTATATTTTGAACTCAAGCAAATTTTAAAAAGATGATGAGATTGTGAAGACACTGTTGAGGTCATTTTGAGTACTGACGTTATGGTTTGTTTAAAACAGTAAGTTTCCTTTATGAATTTAGTTAGGCAAAGCAATAAGAAGGAAGACGTAATCTGTCTGAATCGTGTGTAATGTGTATATTTGCGCAACACACATTTCGAACAATCTGATTACACGCACTGACTTATCATAGGACTGTATTTATATGAAATTAATATAAAGTTAAGATGTCAGAAAATAGACTTAAGTCAAGTTGAAAGGACATATTGAAGTTCAAAATAACAATGCAGATCACTAAACCAAATAGGAGAGAGGGAATATTACATCTACCCTGGTTAGTATCAAAACAAAGTTTACCAAGGAAGGTTTAGTGTGATGAATTGTTTGTGATGAACGCATAAAGGTGGTTTAAACTTTCTAATTGTCAACTAAGGCTTCCACAAACTTTAGGATACGCCCACCCCAAAATGCGTTCTTTAGATAGGTTTAAAAGACGTGTAAACGTCAATTTTATGCCCTGTCTCTGTAATATGTTTCTCAATAGAAGAGCTAGGTCTCCTGCTCTCACCATTAATGGGTTCTGGGGATTCTATTTACTTCTGGGGCCATTTAGGAATATGCTGTTAAGACAGCCCTTACTTGTAGAGATCGGTGAGTCCTTCCTATGTATGTGTGTTCACACGTACATTCAAATAGTTATATACTGTGGGATGTGACGTCATTTTTCGCATGTTCGAAGGGCTTAGATAGATATAATGCCTCTACATTCTCTATTATTATGATATTAGCTGCATAAAAAGTCTTTTTAACAGCAGCGTTCAGTTTTTATCTAGTTATCAAGCTGCTATGATGCCCATCTTTCTTAGGGACGAGTTAGAGAGTGGGTCTTGGTGTTCCACTGACTACTTCATATCTCCTGATGAACTTGTCTAGATAACTGTTATCAACCAGAGTTTGTGTCAACTTTCTTTCTTCAACATCATCAAGTGTGTCTTCAGTGCATATTTGTTGGATTCTACTAAAGCGGTACCTTCCTAAGGCTCATCTTTTATACCGAACGGGGCATAAACTGTGATATTCAATATACTGTCCTCTCCATGTGGGTCTTCTATGAATAGATCGCTTTATTGATCCATCAAGCCGTCCGTTGACTAAGCAATATATCTAAGAGAGATAAAGAATTACCTTCAACTTCTACAGATTTAAGTGATATGCTTTTCTGAACTTCATTCATTCAATTTAAAACTCAGGTGACAGAATAGAACCACATACAGTGATCTACCAACGAATAACCCTCTTTTATGACTATCTTTGCAGTATTTCATGACTGTGATTAACTCAAGGAAGTTTTTCTCAGCTATAAAATAGAGCGCAAAGATCAGTTCCTTGCATTCAGACAATAACGAGTCAGTTTTGGTTGTCATTATTGTTATTATTATTGTTCCCTTGGGTTCCTAGTGGAACACAGAGCTTCAACTGCACGTCTCCACTTGCTTCTTTCTGTCTTCTCCTGTACTTTTCACTTGCATCCATGTTATTCCATACTGTACCAACTCCTCATCACATGATCTCCTCCATGTCATCCTTACACCAACGTCTCACTCGCCGCTTCCCTTTCGGCCTGGTTCCACTCGAGCAATGGCCTGATGCGCGTGCGATGTCACCCAGCGGCGGCCTCCTCAGCCAGTGTCCAATCCATCCATCTCTACTTTCTCCTGCATATTTGTTGGTTGGCGATCAGTTGGTTCTTGTTTTGTGTGTTCCTTCCCATAGTTTCTTGTTGGTGATTCTTTCCGACCCGGCCATCTGATTCATCTTCAGTATAGAGCGATAGTTGACAGTTGTTGGTTGATAAGGGTGTGCAACAGGCTGTTGGAAATATTCTTTGTGACCCGCCAAGCGCCAAGTTTCTGATCCGTATAGAGGAGCTGACTGACTTGACATTGTTTGTATTGAAACTCCGACTGAATTTTGTTGTTGATGGTGTCTGAGTGAAGAAGATTTCCAGATTGGTTTCAGGTTGATGAATGTGTTTCTCGCCTCCTCGTCTGTTCCGACTTCCTGTAGTTGAGACAATGCTGCCTAGATAGGTGAGTGAATTAAGTACCCTCTTTCAAATTCCTCCTGTTGATGGTGATTGGCACTGGATGTTGTTTCTGCTGTTGTTGTTGTTGTTGGTTGGTTATTTTCATAACCTCCGTCTTGTCTTTGTTCACCTGGAGTCCTATCTTCGCCGGCTGCTTCTTCGACCAGTTTGTCAGTTTTCGCTTGTAGGTTGTTGATTTTGTGTGACATGAAACACGAATCATCCACGCGCAAAATTCAGGTCTTCTAGGTTCTTCACGTCGGTCCAGGATATTCCTATCTTTTCGTTTCCCACTCACTGTCTGACAGTTTTGGTGGTTACAGGAAGTAAAAGATACGCTTGTTCACTTTCATTTCTAGCCGACAATTTTAAACATTGGGATAATGTGTTAAAACTTGCAAATCAATTGAAGGTTAAATCGTACTCAACAATGAAGTACACTTACTATATCAAGCCACATGATAGTTGACAAAATTTGATTCTTTTCATCCTGAAATACAAATCAAAAGACGGCAATCAGAGTATTATTATTATTGTTATTATCATTATTATTATTTAGTGAGTAATGACAAGACAAGAGTACTTTCATAAAGAAACATATGAAAACATCAAAGAGAAAACCTGAGACACTGACTGCACGTAAAAAGCCTCTGTTTATTAAGTTACAATTTAATGGTGACTTATCTAATGAGACTTTGCTCCAGAGACTTTCCACGAGTATACGAAGAACATTTTACGCAGCACACCTAGGTTTGTCATTCTCTAGCCGACGAATGATTGGGACGCAAACAGAAGATAGGCTACTAGGTAGTGTATTTATCAATTCAACTACACATGCGGTGACAGTTATGTTGGGCGTACTACTAGACAGCTTAGCCAACCGACGTGTTAGTGAACATCTCCCATCGTGGTTTGGCAAGGGACAGACGAAAACAATCCGTAGCTCAATTTTATCAAATTTAATTGATAGTGGTCATGTGGTTGGTAAAACGAGAGCTTTCAAAATAATTTATCGTATCTTACCAAATCTTTCTAATAGACTTGGTATTCGTCTACTGCACGCACACAACTGAAGCAGGCGATAGGCATTCGAACTATTAAACCTAAACTATATATTCAAAAGGAGTTCGTACAACCATTAGCCCTCCCTTGTTGGGCTATTAAGACATAACTAGCTAATGACTTCTACACCACCCCCTGTTTATATTTTCAACCCCTTTCTTATCATCCCTAATATTATCGCATCTTCATTATAAACGTGTCTCATTTCCTTCGCTTACAATATAACATTACTTGATCGGTTCATTTGTTTTTACTAGCCTTTATCGACTACTTCCACCTGAACATATCTGTTTGTTTAATCATGCTGTTTTCATTATTCGTGTTATCACAGATTGCCTCACTTTTTCATCCCTATTATTGATAAAACCATTAATATTATTATTATCATTACAACTATTATGGCTAATTACACAATTTATATACACAATCTTGTTAACCTATAGACAAAATACCATGATTGGTTTATATTTGAATTTTATTTGTAAACTTATATCCATATTAGAGTTAAGCCTGATGAGATCTAATTGAAAGCACAACATTGTTCGCTTAAATGTGTTGTTCTAAAAGACAGATTATTCACATATGAGCTCTATCGACAAATTCCTTTACCGAACGAGAGAAAAATCAAAAAGCTCTGTGGGACCTGAATGCTCCGAAAAACCATCTAATATTAAATCTTAGTATTCATGAGAAATATAATAATTAAGGAAATTCTCAACGCCTTGCCTTCTCCGCACACACGCACACTCACACTCTTCTTCAACAAAACGTGAAAGACAGGATCCTACTGCCGATAGTGTCAACAGGCATTTACGAATACGTATTCATTCCTGTGAGGCCAAGCGCATAGGCCGTACAAGAGGGACATTGTCCAGACATACATTGCCCATGAATACTTACTAGCCTACTTGCTCAAAAGGCGAACAGACAACAGTCCATATCTCACTTCTAGTCATACAGAATCAACACACTTTATTTTCAAAAGAATGGATACTGAACAAAGAGTACTCTTTTCGATAACCCCTTCATCATCAGCCTCTACATTTATACATACATTATAGTGAATGAATGAGTTAGTGTTATAAACGACATTAATGTTGTTTAAATAACATCAAATCAATAATATTGATTGATTACAGCTGAATCGCATCAACATAGAATAAGCTGAGTGTCAGAAACATTAGGAAAGATAATATTACAAATTCATGAGTTTATAGTCTCCACTGAAGGCCAGAGCAGTAGTAGGGACTGAACTTGCTTCTTTTGGACACAGAGTGCTGGTTGTTTGAAGCGAACCGCAATAGCCCCTGCTACTTAGAGCACGCGGTGATTCGATGTTTTTGGTAATTTATTTGGCACTCGGTATAATATAGAGAAGGATTCATCTATGCTGGCTTTGTGGCCAGTTTGCACCAGATGTTCCAATATCGAGCTGTTAATGGTTTTCACTACACCTCTGCTTAGCCATGCTGGGAGATGTTCTCGAGCCAGCACGAAAAATCAAGTTCCTAGAGTCACGGCTAATATAACTGGCTCCACAAGCGCAGTTGAATTGATAGATACAAGTTCGTTCCTATCAAGTATAAAAGAAATTTAGTGAAGACCCTCAGCCACAGAGTTAGAGCTATATGTTCAGAAGAAGTAATTGAAGATGAATTAAGCATTGAATATGATACTTTGATTGAAAATGGCCATCCCGGAAAATTTATCAAGAAACACATGACGAAGAAAGCGGAAAAGGACTACTCACTATCTGTAAACAAGAAGCCAATTTATATACTACTACAATTCAAGAGTGATATACCAAGTGAGATAATTACGAGGAAATTAAGATAATCAGTTCAAAGAACTTTTAATGCTGGCGAACTACACGTCTTATTCTCTACACGACCGAATGTGATTCCTCGACTGAAAGATGAAGTACCTAGACTAGCCACTTCTAATTGTATCTATCAATTCAACTGCGCTTGTGGAGCCAGTTATATTAGCCGTGACTCTAGGAACTTGATTTTTCGTGCTGGCTCGAGAACATCTCCCAGCATGGCTAAGCAGAGGTGTAGTGAAAACCATTAACAGCTCGATATTGGAACATCTGGTGCAAACTGGCCACAAAGCCAGCATAGATGAATCCTTCTCTATATTATACCGAGTGCCAAATAAATTACCAAAAACATCGAATCACCGCGTGCTCTAAGTAGCAGGGGCTATTGCGGTTCGCTTCAAACAACCAGCACTCTGTGTCCAAAAGAAGCAAGTTCAGTCCCTACTACTGCTCTGGCCTTCAGTGGAGACTATAAACTCATGAATTTGTAATATTATCTTTCCTAATGTTTCTGACACTCAGCTTATTCTATGTTGATGCGATTCAGCTGTAATCAATCAATATTATTGATTTGATGTTATTTTTTTTTTTTTTGATTTACAGCTTGATTCCACACTGTATTTTCGGTACAAGTATGGAATTTTCAGCATGGATATCGGTAGCCCAAATTTTGCAGGCCGACCATAGATATCAGGTGTGCGTCGGTGCGGGCTCTAACCCCGGACCATGTACATGGTCGGCGAGAGTCCTAACCACTGTGCCACCGACGCACACAACATTAATGTCTTTTATAACACTAACTCATTCATTCCCTATAATGTATGTATAAATGTAGAGGCTGATGATGAAGGGGTTATCGAAAAGAGTACTCTTTGTTCAGTATCCATTCTTTTGAAGACTTCATTTTGTTTGAGTCATACACATAAACTACGACCAAACCAGTGAAAATGGATCTCGTAGCCAAAACTTTAGCAATCATGGGGAAAAACTCAAAATTTTATGTTCAGAGATGTCTGTGTTCCTGACTTTTTTACTGCCATGGCTTTATAGTGTCAATTTTTTTTATTTTTCCTGAATTTCTAAATAATACATCCCATGTAATCCTTCAGTTTGTTTGTTTTTTTCTAATTTTTCTAACTCATTTTCATTTCTTTTGTTCTCTTATTTCTTGTCAAGTATTTCCAAATGATTCCGCGTTAATTATCAAATGCTGGCTTGCAGGGATTTGATTGGTTACAGCGGTTGAGCATGAACTGACATCGATTAGAGAAGTAATGACTAAAACTAAGGAGTATTTTTGACTAGACACTTGTCAGTCCTTGCCGACAACTGCTACCTTGCCGTGGTGGTCAGGCTTGAATACCACAGTAACCCAACAAGCTAAACTGGCTTGGACTCATGTCCCTACAGGTCCTACCATGTCAGGAAGGTTGTTTGGATAGCAGTTAGACTAAAAGCAGTTACTATGAGGGATACATAGGCTCCAGAATCTAATGCGATCAAATGGCGTATGAACCCATATGGGTCACCGGCAACCATAGGAATGCAGCTCTTGATGCTGCTCTGCTACCTTGAGGATTAGGCTCCAAGTCAAAGGCTCCAGGGGGTGGGCGGTCCCTTAAGAAAACCACTTGCTTCGGTCTGGGCGCCCGGGCGGTATCTCAGCCCTCACACAATAAATAAAATAAAGCAACAAACTATCACTGAAACTCACCGCGTGCTCGTAACAGTGATTTCAAGTAATAATGATGCCTCAAGCAACTTATGTCTTTCCAACCTTACTTTTATTTTTATACATAGATTCTTGTATTTTACTTTTGCTAACCTTGACTTCTTCACCTTCGACAGCTTTTCGCCTTTGTCTGGATTCCCAGCCTATCTGTGTGTGTGTGGCGCATCTTTCTTGGTGCCATATTATACCAAGTTTTTCTGCGTTTAAATAATATAATAAATAATAATACACTAGTCAGTAACTTGTGTAATGCGTCTAGTCGGGCGATTGAGGACCCGAATAGCTACCTAGCTCAACGGTAACGTCCATAACTGCAGACGGCACTGGGTGACACGGGTTTGAGTCACATAAGGGACGTGAGTTCCTTCAAGGCAGTTGCAGATACGCCTGCCTTGCTGACTGACTGGTGAGTGTCAACTAGCACGAAACCTAGATCTAGTCAAGACTTCCTGTGGCCGATTGCCTCCAACCTTCTCATAAAACCGGGAAGTATTGGACAGCTGTCTTGTCGTAATTTGGGACCCTTCAATAGTACGCACCCACTGACAGGACTCCGACCCAGGATCTTCTGGTTATGAGGCGAGCTAGTAGATCATTAAAAACCATCGGAACCCGACCCAATGGGCCATGAATTCCAACTTCTGCCAATTCGTGATACATATTTGGTGCAACCATCAGCCAATTTCACTGGTGACTGACTGTCCACTTACCTAACTTGGTGAACCCCACTAGCTACGACTTCTCACGAGGACCAAAGGTAAATTCCTGCGTAGGGTCAGTCGCTAAACATAAATCACGAATTAGCAGAAGCTGGAATTCACAAGACATTGGGCCGACTCCCAGTGGCTAAATAGACTACGAGCTGGCCTTGTTACCAGAAGGCCTTGGGTTCGAACCCTGTCTGTAGGTGTGTACTGCTGAAATATCCCAGTGACTAGGAAGAAATCGCTGTCCCGTACTCCCTACTGGTTGTCCAATGGTTCTCTAACTGATGCCAGCTCGTGACCACTTTTGTGTTCATAACTAATTAGTTGTTACTTGTCTAAATTTCATCTCATGGGGAAGTTTTCATACGTAATCAGCATTAGTGGTTGCTTCACACACACATGCACACATCTCTTTAGTACGTTAAATAGAAATGGGGATAATTTTATCATAGCTGTACTAATGGACTTAACCCTAACTCACTTCAGAGACTCAGGGATTGACTTGCGACCAGGAAATAATCTCGTTGACTTAGAATATGCAGACGGTATAGTCCTTCTAGGCGAGGACGCTGGCAAAATGTAGAGTCTTCTGAACACCTTGAGCTGCAATCTACGAATGTTTGGCATGCGATTCGCTCCTGCTGGCAAATGTAAGATGATGTTACAGGACTGGCTGGACTACACCGACTCTTAGTTTAGAAAAAGGGAGTGAAGTAGTAGAGCACGTTGACCGCTTCACTTATTTGGGAAAGTACCATCAGCCAGTGCCATCAGGTTGATCTCTGACGAAATCTCAGTATGGATACAGAGTGCTAGTTTCGCAAATGCCAGTTTACGTTGTCTCTGGCGTAGACGTGATATCCAGCTGGTTATCGACCAGAGGGCGGGTGTACTGCTCAGCAGTCTGCTCCGTCCTCCTTTATGTCTGTAAGCGAGAAATGGCCATTGAGAGTGGAAGACATGAAAAGATTAAATGTCTTTGATTATAAGTGCCTCCATTCTATCTCCCGTGTGAAGTGGTCTAATAAGGTGAGCAATATTGAAGTTAGGCGTCGAGTGCTAGGTAGGTGGGAGAGGAAATCAATCGACTATGCTGTGAAATTTCATCGATTGAGATGGTTACGTATGTGTTACGTATGCCTAGCCTAGCCATCGCCTTCCTCAATGACGGACAATGTTAGCTGATATAGGGTCAGGCTGGAAAAGAGCTACCGGCGGTCAAACTAAAACATGGCGGCACCAGTCAATGAAATCCACAACAGTTAGTTTGAGCCAGTCACATAAGGAAGTGTAGGCTGGCTTCCTGGTTGGGGTCCTCATGACGTTAAAAACCAATGTCTGGAAACAATTGGTGATATGGCTCAAAATCGTTCACAATGATGGCTGGTGCAGATGCATCCACTCCTTGTGACTTATAATTTCAAATGGAACTATATCGTTCTCCGTTCGTTATTACTATTCCTTTGTCACACACCTCTGTTTACTGTCTCTGTTATGAATTTCTTCTACTTTCTTCTGTTGCTTTGTGTGATACATGGAGGGGAGTGTGGCGACTTGAAGTGGTGCACATCGGTGCAAAGTTCTATGTCGTAAAAAAGACAAGGAAGACACTTCGTTGACTGTCATTTTGTAGTAACATTTTGTGAAGGGTGGAGACAGTGTTATTTTTCTTATTTATATAAAAGTAAAAAGGGATATGAAATAATTAAGCTTACCATATCCATAATTTGATTTAGAAAACACTTGAGGAAGACTTGTACTGGTTTCCCATCGATGGAAACAGGACGTTCCATTGGATTGTGTGCATCCCATCTCTTTTGATCGAACAGATATTTCAACAGACGTTTTTCAGAATGACCTGAATAAGCTGTAATAAAAAAAACAAGATAATGGGAAAGAAATTATCTCAGGTAACTGCATTACTGTTCTATAATTCTTTATTCTCAACTTTATATTAATAATAATAATAATAATCTACCTTATTCCAAAACAGACAGTACTTATAGTACAGAATGGAATTCTCAGCATTTGTCACAATATTGCATCTGATTTACTTTAAATAAAAATTTGTCCACATTCACAATATAAAGTGAAAAATATTCGAAGCACGAATTGAGAGTGTTAGATATAGTAATAATAACAATAATAATAACAGTGAGTTTGTTTTAAACAGTATTGTCGATTCACTTTGGCTTGGAAATTTTAGCATGTTGTAGATTATTGGATCTAATGTTCTGTTGAGATAGTATAGTGAGGGGAAACACAAAAAACAGCAGTTATAACACATCTTAAATGATGTTCAGACTTACGAAAAATAAATAAATAAAAACGAAAAATTGAGAGGACTGTAAATATAAGAACAAAAATAACAATAAACCTTGGGGGAATAAGGATGGAGAAAATGGTTTATTTAGTATTGCACAGATGGTTAGTTAGTTAGTTCATGCCTGACACTATTTTCATCGCATAAAGTACGTGCTAAATATGGTATAGTGGAATTTTTATACTTAGACGTGCGCGTGCATAAAGTCTTTTTAAATGAAATCTTGTTTTACCTGAGGAGACATCAGGTTGGAGCTGCAGGTACTGTAGTGGACGCTCAGAGTCTGACAAAATTCCTTTGGCAAATTTGTTGCATGACATCAAGTGCCTATCAGTGACAATGTCGACGATATAGCCCAATGAGATACCACCACTTACCCTACTGACAGTCAGTGTTCAGAGCTCTACGAAGTATGACATAGTCTTTTTTAAGCAATCCAGGAAAGAATAAGTAAGGGTGAACAGTGAAAAAGAATAGGTAAAATACACGAGTTGACAAACTGTAAGAGGAGTGGTTGAGATATACCTCAGTGCCTTAACTTCTTAATGTAAAAAGTCAGACCAAATAAAATGATACACATAGATGAAATTTAGGCATTAAACTGTTTTCAAAAGCATATCTTGACTTTGTCCGGTCGCTTCCAGTCCTCTTTAGCTGACCCCGCAATTTGTCATAGTCTATCATCTCGCCACACTATCTCCTCCATGTTACTCTCACACTGACGACAAACTGGTCGCTTCCCATTCCACTCGAGCAATGGGCTGCACTGAGCGTGGTGTCATACGACGGCCGCCTCAATGTATGCCCAATCCGTCTTATTTTCTCATACATGTCTGTTGAGCAATCGGCTCTTGCCTTGTCAGCTTGTTCCCAACTAGGGTTCCTTATTGTCAATTCTTTCTGGCCGGCTGGCCAACGAAACACGTAATAACTGACAGAATTCTGCAATAGGCTGTTGAAAATCCTATCCGTAACACACACACACACGACGAATTTCTGACCCGCATTTGTGTTGAAAATCCCAGTCTTGTTGTTTATGCTGAGTGACAGTAGATTTTCAGACGAGGTTCAAGTCGATGAACGCGTATCTTACCTTTCCAATTTTGGCCCGCTTTGACACCTTCATCCGTGCTGTACATCTTCTGTGGTTGAAACTAGGCTGGCTGCCTAGATAAGTAAAGAAAGTAACTTCTTTCAAATTTCTCTGGTTGATTGTAATTGGTGCTGGTTGTTGTTGATGTTGATCGGTTGGTTATCTTCATCACTTCTGTCTTCTCTATGCTCATCTGGAGTCCTGTCTTCGTCGCCTACTTCTCCGGATAGTTTATTGGTTTTCTACCTGTAAGTCCTCGAATTAATATACGACATTAATAGACATAAATCATCCACGCACGAAATCTTGATCTTCTACAGACTTCTTACCGGTCAGTCCAGGGTATTCCTGTGCTCTCACTTTCCACAATCTGACGCATAATCCAGTCCACCACTATCAGGAATATCATCTTCGGTGATAATAGGCAGTCAGCTTGTCTAACTCCCGTATTCACTTCACTTCAAACGCCACACATTGAGCTTTCCGTTGGGGGTCATCTGACACGTGGTAGTGTCATAACTAGGATATACTGTACAATTATACTGTGTGAGGGCTGATGATGTGGTGACAGCTGGCTGCTAGCCGAACTGGTAGACAGTAATTTACGTCAATGTTTATGTCCCCAATACTGGTCGTCAGAAAAATATGAACAAAGACTTTGCGTAGGCGGATACAGTTAACATATAGATGATCTGACATTCAAGAAAAACAGCCACAAAGAGATGGAAGATTAACTTTCAGTGAGAAATAACTACTAATCAGAGGACTGTGTTTTTCTGCTAACAATAATTTATAATAATGTACATTAAAATCTATAAATATGTGTTGATTTCCCTAACAAACGATCTGTAGCCTGGCCCTTGTCTTCTGTTGTTACAATAATACTACCCAATTGTCGAAGATGAAGTTCGTTATTGTTGTCATTGTTCATCCCATGGATTCTCAGTAGAACATGAAGACAGCTTCAGCAGAACATCTTCATTCCACTCACTAATTTGCTGTCATTTGTTTATGGTTCTATCATCTTCTACAAGCTTTCATTTCATCTTCACATGATCTCTTCCATATCATCGTCGGACAAAAATGTGTAAATCGTCATTGCTCGTTTAGGTTGCACTAGACGTACATCACTTGAATGTCTCTTCAACTTATGCCCAATTCATCTCCATTTCCTGCTGCGGATTTATTTGTTATCAGTATGCTCCTGGTTGGTTCAATGCCTACTTAAGTTCCTGATTGCGCTTTTTTTTTCTGGCACGCCACCTCACTTTGAGTGTCCAGAGGAGGCAACCATTGGCTGCAAGTCTGCAAGAGTTTGCTGGAAGTGCTTTCCGTGGTGCCATGTGCCAATTTTCTGAACCGTATAGTAAGTAGTACTGAATAATGATTAATACACCGAAGGTTATCAAATAAACCAAATCTTGACCCTAATCCTTTTTTTATTTATTTTTGATTACACTTTGATTCCACACCGTATTTTTTTGGTACAAGTATGGAATTTTCAGCATGTGACATCGGTAACCCAAATTTTGCAGGCCGACCATAGATATATATATATATATATGTGACCTTGGCGGCCTGCTTAAATCTTGGGCTACCAATTACCTTAAACATTACAAATCGTATTGCATCTAATTTCTCATTTCTAATTGATATTTTAATCAATAAATCTTATTCAAATATGACCTCAAATCGGATTATTTATTCTCGTGAATATCTAATATCTTTAAAACCTACTGATCTGCAACTCCATAAAAAAGACAAGAAAAAGCATCATGCCGGCTGGCAGAGAGCATTAAAAAATACCCCTATTCAATTCATGACTGTTCCCGCAATTATGAGTACCAATTGTCGCTCCCTGCCGGCTAAAATTAACTGTCTTCAATCGCTGGTGTCTTCCATTATATATCATAATACTGGGATCATATCACTTCAAGAAACATGGCTTCATGATCTATATGATGACAATCTAGTGTATCTAAATAATTTCAAACTATTCAGACAAGATCGGTGTAGTTCCAGGAAGAAACGCGGTGGCGGTGTCGCCATCTTCATCAATTCACAATGGTGTACGTCTAATAATGTATGTTTCAAATTCTCTAGTGACAATATTGACTGTCTCACCGTTAAGTGTCGACCTAAACATTTGTCTAAATACAACTACATTTACATCTCGAACATGTATATTGCTCCTGGATGCAACTCCACAGAATTATCTTTATTTGCGGATGAATTTACTTCCCTTGCTGCCACCTCCTTCGGAAATTCCTTGTCTATAGTTACTGGTGATTTTAATTCTAGTGACCACAGCTTCCTAATTTCACTTGGACACGATAATATTGTCAACTTCCCGACTAGAATGGACAACACTCTTGACCTTGTTTTTACAAACGATGCAGGAATATTTGAAGCTCGAAAAAGAGCCCCACTACTAAATTCAGATCACTGTATCATAAGAATATTGCCCAAAGTATATGGAAAGCAGCACAAAAGGGTCTTCTCATACCTTGGAAAGAAAACACAACACAGATGTTATTCCCATGACAACATACTGAACCTAAGGTCCATGTTAAAAGACACAAACTGGGATCTATTTACTGAACAAGCTCTTGATAACACAATTGCCAACATAACACATTATCTTAATTTCTGTCTTGATGTTTGTTGTCCAAAAGAGACAATCTTCTTAAAATTCGATCGCTTCTCCTCTTCTCAACTCAAAAAGCTCCGCCGTGAAAAAGAAAGGTTGTTCAAAATGAAAAACAAATCTGGTGTTAAGAGAATGAACACTTTGATTAAGCTTGAATTACAAAGATTGAATGCTCTCTATAACCAGAAGTTTCTTTCATGTAAATCCCCATCAAATATGTGGAAGTTATTAAAGGAAATCACAGGTGGTAAGCAAATGTTGAATGATATTTCTGTAGATGTTAATATGCTAAATGAATCCTTCATATGTATCCCAGCAAATGTTATGATTCCTAACTCAAATAGTGTAAACAATGACTGCTTCTCATGCTTTAACACGAATGATGTCCTCAAGTGTCTTCAATCTCTCAAGCCTACTCAGTCCCTCGGTCCTGATGGTGTTCCTGCTGTTATCCTTAAGAAGTGTGCCGACATCTTGTGTTCCCCGCTAACTGACATTTTCAACGAATCGTTTTCCAAAAGTATTATACCTGAATCATGGAAAAACATCAAGATCGTTCCAGTGCCTAAATCTACAAGTGGACCTAATGTTAAGTTTAGACCCATTTCAATTACCTCACCTTTCTTGAAAGTTATGGAAAGACTTATTTTACTTAATCTTGATCCCTCTTTAAAACCTTTCAACGACCCCAACCAGTTTGCTTATAAACATAGTAGGAGTACGTTAGATGCCGCTGTCGTCCTCCACCATAGCATAGTCTCTAGTTTAGATAAAGGGGCTAAATACGTTCGCTGTGCCTTCCTTGATTACACATCTGCATTTGACTCTGTTCCCAGGTCTCTCTTGCTAAGTAAGCTTGCTGCAACACAGGCTGAAAGCTGGACAAATAAGTGGTTGCATTCCTATTTTTCTGAAAGGAAGCAGTACACCGTCTACAATGGAAAATCCTCCACTACCTCACTTACTTTAGCTGGTGTTCCTCAAGGTGCTGTTCTTTCTCCCTTTCTGTTTCGTTTTTCTTACATGACTTGCCTCATTCTGATGTAGCCACTTTTGTTAAGTATGCCGATGACCTCTCGGTTTCTATGCCTGTCAACTCTCAGTCAGATTGTTCCAAATTAAATAGCTTTCTGTCGGAAATTAGTCAGTGGTCCTCTTCAAACGGACTTAAGCTTAATCCGTCTAAATGTCAGGTAGTCAATTTCACTTTCAGACGTAAATGTGACCTACAGCAACTAGTTAGCTCACATGGCCCCACTCTCATTGACGGCACAGAGGTTGAAAATACATCTAATGTCAAGTACCTTGGGCTGAGTTTTTCCACCGATCTTTCCTGGTCTTCCCACATCTTGCTAGTTACTAGAAAGATGTTTCGCTTAACGTTCTACATTAGGAAATTTAGGCAGTCTGGCATAAAGCAGTCTTTGCTTTCTCAGTTTGTAAATTCTTGTATTCTACCCATCCTCCTTTACTGCTCCCCATTAGTCTTTCCTGGACTACTTAAGAAAGACTTTGCTTCGCTGAGAAGGGCACTAAAAGCTGTTAGTAGGGCAAGTGGGATATCGTTAAACCAACTGGTGAACACTATTGTAGATAGACATATAATGTCATGTAAGAAACTAGCGAATACAATATTGTCGGACCCCAAGCATCCTCTCTATACGCATCTATCTCCTTGCATTTCATCTGGAAGAACTAGAAGCAGCTATAGGAGGCTATATGCTAGGACTACCAAATACAAAAACTCCACAATACCATATCTGGCACAGCTGTTATGTGATGAGAAATCCGTTAGGTATGACACGATAAACTTACTGCGGCACTCTAACAAATAGTCCCATTAGTTTTTGTTTTCCTTTCCTCGTTACTACTACACTGTTGTTCTCATCTACAACCACACATCAACTTTATATTTCAAATCCTGTGGTGCATTGTTTGAAATGAAATACTCTACGCTGTTTTTTTTTCTTAATTTTTAATATTTATTTATTTTATTTATTTATAACTTATTTATTTTATTTTTATTTATTTTTGATTTTTAAAAATCTTATATAATTTATGAGGTAATTAGATGCAATATACTGTAATGCACGCTGAAAATTCCATACCTGTACCACAAATACTGTTTGGAATAAAGCTGTTATTATTATTATTATTATTATATTAGGTGTGAGCCGGCAGGAAATCGAACCCCAGACCATGTGCATGGTCGGCGAGAGTCCTAACCACGGTGCCACCGATGCACCATCTCATAACTCTACCAGCTAAACGTGAGCGATAGTCATTCTGGATGAATAACGAAATTGCTATTAAAAATTAGTAGTTTGTTCCTGAAACACTTCAACGTAAGGAATCTTCTTCAGTATTTCTGCCATCTGAACGTACCTACCTGCAGTCCAAGTGAATGATGATAGTATTCTCTCTCTGAGACTCAAACTCTGCATTCTTCGTTTCAACCGCTGAAGTATCCTCCATTAAGCCACGAGAGTTAAAAGAGCTATCTCTTGCACAGCGTGTATCGTTTGTTGCTATTTGTTTTAAGGTTAATTTGTACCTCATTTTGATGGATACAGACAGGGCTCAATTCTCAGTGAGAACACGATTGATTACTTATGGAGGAGAGGATGACAGTACACCCTGATGCTGCTGAGATCCCGAAACAAGGCGAAATACTCATCCTTAATCCAATTTGTAGTCATTAACCATCTTGTTAATCCTTAATTATATTCCACACCGAATTCTAAAACCAAATCAGAGTGAAATCTGCAACGAAGTCCGTGCACACCATCCTTTCGTTTGGTAGAACCGTTAGGTCCATCCAGATGTCACGTATGAGGATGGATGTCCCCTCGATGACATTTGTTGGGGTCGCGCTAAAAATCACGAATTGGTAGAAGTTAGAATTCATGAACTGGCCATTGAATCGGGTCCCAGTCGCTGGCCTAATGGTTTACAAGCTAGCTTGCCTTGTAACCGGAAGTTCTTGGGTGCGTACTGCCTCTGATTCCCAAACTAGGATGTAACAGCTATCCAGTACTCCCTAAGTCTGGTTTTCAATGATTCTATAACTGATATTAATCCGTGATCAACTCGTAAAAAGTCAATCTGATTGGTTCGCTCAGGATTATCTCGATGGATGTTCATCTCTATTTCTGTTTTCTTTTTTAAAATCACCCGATTTGTCGGGCACCAACTCTAGAACCAACCTAAACCAAAACATAGTAGTCGTTTCAACTACAGGCGGACGGAACTGACGACGATATCAAGGTGCGAGGATCCGGAAAGCAAGAGAAGCTTTCATTACTCTCAAGTCTGTATGGAGGTCAACAGCACTCAACATAAAAAATAAGATCCACATTTTCAACTCTAATGGGAAGTCAGTGTTACTGTACAGATCAGAGACTTGGCGCGTCATAAAGAGCACCTCAAACAGACCACGGTCCTTCACTAACAGCTGCCTTCACTCAATACCCAAGATCAGATGGCCGACCAGAAAAGATCAGCAACAGAGAGGGACCTCTGGCAATGAGCGAACCAATCAGGAACCGACTGTGCAACAAATAAGCAGGAAGAAATGGAGATGGATTTGCCATACTCTGAGGAAACCAACAAGTGACATCACACGCCAGGCTATCACTCGAGTGGAACCCGAATGGGAGGCAGAGATTTGGTCGTCAATGTGAGGGTGACTTGGAGGAAGTCATGTGAAGAAGAGATGAAAGCATGTGGGTTGCAGACTTGGAGCCAGGTGAAAACGTTGGCAGAGAACCGAAAGCAATGGAGACGCGTGACTGAAGCCCTTTGTTCCTCTAGGAATTAAAGGAAATGATAATAATAATTAAGAAACTCAGACTATCTGGAATCACCCAACCTCTACTTTCACAATTTGTCAACTCGCGTATCTTACCTATTCTACTTTACTGCTCCCCATTAATCTTCCCTGGGCTACTGAAAAAGAACTGACTATACCATCCTGAGAAGGATGTTGAAGGTAGTTAGTAGGACTGGTGGTGCAAAACTCAGTCAGCTCGTCACTACATTAGTAGAAGGGCATCTGAATACACGCGAAAAATGATCTAAAACCATACTCTGCGACCCTCAACACCCCCTCTATTCCCAACTCTCTCCTTTTATCTAATCAGGTAGAACCAGAAATCCCTACAAAATGATATCCGCTAGAACAACCAAGTATAGGAACTCAACGATACCATATTTGGCCCGTGTTCTAAGTGATGTTAAGCGCGAGACCTATGACTTGCTTTGTTGTTAATGACATAATTTCGGTTCTTTTATTTCTCTCTTATTTGTATTCTGTAGTGAACACCTTCTTAAACATACTCAGCCACCTAAATTATTAACACTGGCTTACTATTTTGTACTTGACTATATTCCCTCTTTTGTGTATCTACTGGTTCCGACTATATTATCACTATGAGTATTACAAAATTGTCCTGTCACTAACCATCATGTATTATTAGTTTTTTGGTTGTTTATTTTGTTCGGCAATATTAACTGACAATCTTGGTTGTGAATGCCATTATTACCATCTTAAAAATTTTGTATTATACAGGTTTACTCACACTACCACAAACAAACACTGCATTAGTGCTAACAATAAAAATAAAAAACCCTGTAATGTTTATTTTATGATTGTTTAGTGTTGTTCAATCAAATTAACTGATCAGCCTGGTGATGAATATTCTTAAATATCATTTCATAACTTCTAGTATGACTATAGCTTTACTGTCACCAAGCATCAACATATTATAGGTTCCACTACCCAATACTGAGATATTATTTATTATTGTTGTTTATTTTCCATTCTACTTTTTGGTATTTTTTTGCATTTTTTCGCTATTTTGTGTTTTTTTTGTTTTTGTTGTTTTTTATATATATATTTTGAAATACTCTTTTTAAATATTTGATAAAATTAGATGCAGTACTGTAGATATGTGCTGAAAATTTCACACTGGTACTGCTTTTGGAACAAAGCAAATTATTATTATTATTATTATTATTATTATTATTAAAAACCCAGTGACTAAATGGTCTACGAGCCTGTCTTGTGACCGGGTGTGGGGTCGTGGGTTTCCACCCTATTTGGTACACATACTACCAACGATTCCCAAACTAGGACGAAACAATTGGCCAGTACTCCTTTCTGGTTTATAACTCATATCAATCCCAAACAAAACCCTAGAAACTAAATACTGAAAATCTCCATTCATCATTAGTCTGTAATCATCATCATCACCAAACAGCGCGTTAATAAACACGACAACAGTGACCAAAGTTAACTATGAAAATCGAACAAAACGACAGAGGTGCAACTTACCTTCTCTAATCCATGAAATAATAATCGCACTGGAAATAAGAATGCCATATATCACATGATAATGTTTAGGCATTCTGAATACATTTATTTATTTATTTCATGATAAAGACGATAGTTCCCATGTTTTAACTATTTTTTTTTTGCTCTTCGATTATATACACAGAGTTAATTGCTTTTCGACCAGGGAAAGTGAAACTAAAATAATCCTGAAAATAACGACTCCATAACTCTTTTTCACTTTTTCCCTAAACCATTTTCAGGTCGGTCGTCATTATAACAGATAGTGACATTTTCTTTTCTTTTCTTTTTTTCCTACCTGTGACATTTTCATGAATCAACCAATCAATAGTAATTATGTCGATTCGAATAAAAGTTAACCAATAAGAACACGAATAAAATGCTTCGGTGTGTGTATGTGTGTGCGCTCATGTGCGTGTATGTGTGTTCGTGACACACATGCTTTCCTTTATTAGGTAGATAAGCGTAAGTTGATCACTTCGTCTGTCTAGGCTATACATGTCTATATCACATGTCATTTTAAATTTTTTTGTTTTTGCTTTTATATTCTGACCAATGGATAGATTGTGTTGTGTGTGAGACAGGTGAATACAGGCATACACACACAAAATTATTGAATGTTATCTAGGTTAAGAAAGCACAATTCTATAGGACAAAAGAGACATCTTATTGAATTGAATTTTTGATTTTCCCGTCGATTGATTGGACCGAAATGCTCGGTCTCAGGTTGAGAAATGCAGGTACATCCAGCTGACGAGTCCCAAATACGACAAAATGTGCATCCTGGATTCCATTGCTAGCCACCACCCACCAATTGTATACACAAAAGACATCTAACTATCATCGTCATACAAGCCAGGCACCCCTACGACCAATTGCAGATTTCAAAACACTTAGCTCGAATACTATGTCCCATTAAAAATCATTCAAACGCTAGGGTAACTAATTCATATGAAATAAAGAGGAGAATAAATGGCATTCAATTAGAGAATAACGAAAAATGGTTGGTTTTGATACAAATGGTCTTTACCCCATATATATGTCCAAACCAAGTTCACTTTTAACCGTTTGAAAAAATTTGCGCATTAGATATATGATATTCAATATAATAAAGGTTTTTGTATTTCCCAATGAATGTAAAACAAAACGATATTCTTGTAACAAGGACCAGGCAACAGATCGTTTATTAAGAAAATCAACACGTATTTATACATTTTGGTGTACATTCTTACAGATTATTCTTAGCAGAAAAACACAGTTTTCTGATTGGTTGTTTCTCACTGAAAGTTAAACTTGCATCTCTTTGTAGCTGTTTCTTGAATATCAATTCATCTATATGTTAACTGTATACTACACAAAGTGTGCTGTGGTTGTTTGTTGAATCAGTCTTTGTTCATATTTTCTCACGACCAATATTCAGGACTTAAACTTTCACGTAAATTACTGTCTACCAATTTGGCTAGTAAAAAGCTCTCACCTCCTTCTTTTTTCTGACGTTTCGCTATTTAATGTTGCTGCTAATAGCTTTATCAAAGCAGCATTATTAAACCGGAATTTACAAAATCCACTCAGCTTATATATAACAGAGAGTTAAGAGGTGAGAAAATAGACTACTTAGGTCAAGTTAAAGGGACGTATTGAAAGTCAAAATAACAATGGAAATCATTAAACTAAAATAACAAAGGTAAAACAGTACGTCTGTTATGATATCAAAATAAAGTTTACTAACTTGATCATCGTTCGTCTGCCTGGAGGAAGTTTTCGTTGTCAAGTTGGTCAATTGGTAAAGATAACAAAATCAAGTGTGGATTGTTGGATTTGATCAGTGTGTAAAATCATAAAAGCAGTGTGTGTTTACATAGTGAACTTGATTATCATATTCGTGTTGATTTTGTCACTTCGTTGGGGAGGGGAGGGAGGTGTTGTAACCATGTCAGATTCTGTTTCAGTGCATCATTGGTATTCAGACAATTTGGATTCCACTTGATATGAAGTGCTTCTGATGATATTAGACATGAAACTTATCGGTTACTATGTTGTTGTTGGCAAAGTAACTGAGTCTTTTATTATCTCCTACTTGTGACGCTATCTCAACTAACTGACAATCTTAGCCACAAGCATTATTATTATTTATAATTTTTTGTACATATATGATTTCACTGTCACCATAAATACCATATAGGCAATCCCGTTAACAGCCCTCTAATATTTTTTTATAATTGTTTTTAATGTTATTCGATAAAATTAGAGGCAATATTGTACCAAATGCTGAAAAGTCCACACTGTAACATTAGTACTGTTTTGGAATAAAGCAAATTAATATTATGGTTACTATTATCATTATAAATGTGAGAAGCTGGATGTCACTGGACGAAATTTCCACTCGTTTTCAAAACCGAGCTTATAATCAGCAGTGTACTTGAATAAGCTGAGATAGCTGAGAGACAGTTGAATCAGTGTAAACTATGCGAATTCTGGCTAGGTGTACTCTTCAGGGTGAACTGATGATTCACAGAAATGAATTCCTCATTTTCAAGTATTGGTTTTTGTAGGGATTTTGTTTGATTGCATGGAGGATTTAATCATGAGCTGACATCAGTTTGTAAATTGAACACAAAGTTTAGGGTGAAAATTCACTATAGCCTCAGGAAATATTCCTATCATAATATGTGTAGCCTTAAGTGGTACGGTGGCATTCACCAATGAATGAGCTACGAACATTGTGTTCGTTGAAACTTCACACGAAATAGGATTAGGAACAATAATGAAGACTTGACAATTTCCTAGCAGATATTCAAATGAACTGTCTGTCGTCAAAATTTGACAGAATAGTTCTAAAGTATTTGGGCGCCGAGTGAGAAGTAGACATTTGTAAAAAAAATTATATTTGTAAAATCTCAGCGATATTGAAATGAGTAATTCCAACGTTTCCTACGTTCGGAAATCTGGTCAGAACTTCTTCAGGGAAATTAATCGAAATTAACGTAACAGAGGTTTATATCTAAAAGGGACATCTCTGGTTTTTGAAATCTTTGTCCAATCATGAGTCATAAAACAAGTATAACAAACAAAACTGTACGAGTTGTGATCAAAATTTGACCTCAGACTTACAAATATTGATCTACCTTTGTTAAACACTTTAAACACAGTGTGTATGTGTGCGTGTGTGTTTGTGGGTAAACAGTTGTAAAACAATGTCTTAACGTCTCCATAAGATTATATAGACAGTCGGGAATTTTGTTTGACCAAGTATTATTAATTAGTGATACATATCCATTTTTATTTATTAATCAGGATTTCCTATGCATCATCTTACAAAATCACACCTTCAACTCTGTTCAAAACTGTTAGCACCTAGAATTTCATGATGATTAGACGTATTTTCAAAATTATGGTGTTTAGGATCTGTTATAACTGCACTGAATTAAGGTAAACCCCGTCGCCAATTTGTTATAACTGCACTGAATTAAGGTAAACCCCGTCGCCAATTTGTTATAACTGTAGGGAATTGAATGAAGACGTTTTCACCTTGCTCTGTCTGCGCCTGAACTAATCTGCCTATCTGCTTGTCGTACCTTCCGATTTAGTAAAGCACGCAAATATCAAAAGACAAAGGCTGGACTGTGACTGTGTATTGAAGTGCAACAACGAGAAAGAAAGCCATGGTATTTATACATTTTACAACAATATGGACAGCTAACAGCATTTGAAATAATTGATCTTAATAGCCAATAACAAAGTGCGTGAGAGATGATAATATACCATATGTGCGAGGTTGACAGTCACTACCAAAATGTGTGGGAATGATAATATACCATATATGCAAGATTAACAGTAAATACCAAAATGTGTGAGAATGATAACATACCATATATGCAAGATTAAACAGTCAATACCAAAATATGTGGGATCCTATCACCTCCCCCGTAAAGAGTGTAGGACTTGCTTTTTGGATCTATTTGAAAAGGTTTCGGAGCTCTTCTTTGTCGAGTTGACCTTCGCATGGTACTGGATAGAGTGTGATCTGTGTGTCTGACACATAACTGTCCTTTTTCATTCGTACGATAATGCAGCAAGAATTTATCCAAAATTTCTTCTGTTGTTCCCTCCCCCTTCGCTTTTGCATAAGCACGCTTAAAGGTGTCGACGAAACGTTCAGTCTGTCCATTCGATTGGGGATGATACGGGGGGCTACGAATATGCTGGATGCCAAACAGTTTGCAGCAACCAAGTTTGTCCTGGAAGACAGAAGCGTGCTTTTGACGACGGCGTTGCAAGAGAGATTGATCAGATACATCTCCGGGAACAACGTTGTGTGGTGAAGACGAAACATTAGAGCATACTGAATTTAATGGTACATTAAAGATATGGAGCTTGTCTAACCAGTCAAGACCAAGCAAATTCAAATCATGGTAGTTTGTAACGTAACATACACCATTGAAGTGATGCTCACCAAACTGAACCTGGCAATTTATCTCACCCACGAGTTTCAGTATATCTCCAGAGACATTCTTGGCGACATGCTCGGTCGGCAGAATCTGTGGGCAACCAAGTTTGCGCCACGTAGTTCGGGAAATTACGGTGATATCTGATGCCGTATCCAACTGAAGACGAATACGTTTGCCGTTAATATCTAGTGTTATGTACTTACGTTTGCTGGCGAACTCGACTTTGGAAGTAGTGAAAACGGTCTGTACTCGAGGAGATCGTTTCGGCTTGAAACGACTACTTCTGTTCCTCACCGAAGAATTTTTCTGCGGTGTACAGTAACCCTCCTTATGTCCAAAACGGTGACAATTACGGCATTTATGTTTCTTGAAAGGACAGAACTTGACAAAATGCCACGAACCACAGTGCCAGCACACTGAAGGAGGTTTAGCTGAATTTTGAGACTGACGTTCTGTGTGCTTAACGGTGATCGGAGGACTTTTCACTGTGTTAATCGAACCAAATTCAGACGACTGTCGTTTGCACTCCACCATAGCAGTATCGTGCTTCAAGTTGATTAAACGTAGGCATTCTGCTGTCACCATTTGTAAAGTCATTTTCGGGTCTTGTTCCACGAGTGACAGAAGTCGAGTTCGTATGTCAGTATCTTCTGGGTTCTTCAACCCACAAATAAAAATCAAACACTTGAACTGATCTGATGTCATTTCGTGTGGTTTGAACCTTTCACATTCCTTGTTCACTTTGCCAGCGTAAGTCACATAATCATCGGAAGGCATTTTTGTCAACTGAAAACATTGATACCGAATATTAAACATGGATGA